AGAGTCATCATGCAGATGCAGGGTCAACCTAATGATCGTATGCTGAATTCTGGAATTTATACCAAAGACCTTTTCAGCAAAGACCAAGACTCCCCCAGTCCTTCATGGAGGCTGAAAACAGAGTGCGTTTTTCCGTGTTGCAAGAATCAAGGCTCCATGACCAATTTGCGTAGGGGCTCTTCTTACACATTTAACAGTGTTGATGACATGGCAAATGTTCACTTTGAGGTGCAGGATACCAGTGAGAACAACACACAGGACTTTTTAGGCCTCCTCAAACGGATGCTGCATGTAGATCCTGAAAAAAGAATCACCCCCAGTGAAGCACTGGGACACTGTTTCATTTCCATGAAACACTTACCTAGTGATGCGAACCCCAACCCTCATATGTCATCACATATGGATGAAGCCAACAACACTTGTCCAAATTCTGGAGCTGATAAAGAAACTGTTACTTGTACTAATGATAATTCACCACACACAGCTGGCTTAGATGAAGACACTTGTTCAAATTCCAGAGCCCGAGCTACACAACTGCTGCTGACAATAATAACAGACCACCAGGGAAAGCTGACATAGATGCTGCTGAGACTGATAAGAAACCTGGCCTGACAGAGGTAACTTCACCTGCCTCTGTTGGTCATGGTTCTAATGGGGACAAAACTGCCACCTATGAAGGAACCACAGGATTTGTAGAAGTCAAAACCCGAAATAAGTTTATCAGGAGGATATGCCAATTCTTCTCACGAAAGTTCAAGAAAATAAGTTGTTGTAGAGTAGATGTTATTGAATAAAGACACACCGCACTTGATTGAAGATACAGAGAGGTGCAAAGGTCTGAGACCAGTGGATTATCATGGGCAGCACAGCAGTGCAGTGGTTAGCACTGTCACCATACACAATGTTCTCCCCATATCTGCGTGGGTTTACTCCAGGTGCTCTGGTTTCTCCCACAGAACAAAAACATACAGGTCATGTTAAGTGACAACTTTAAATTTCCTGTTAATATGAATGGTTGTCTATTTATGTTTGCCTAGTGATTGGCAGCTGACCTGTATGGACACAAATAAATTAAAATTACAAATTACAAAATTCTACTCTCCCATTTAAGTGAATGTCATCCGTTATTGGGAATATTTAAGATGCAGAATAAAAAAATGTATTTGTTAAAAAAATAACCATGTGTCATTAATCGTTAATTAATTGATGATAAAGACTATTTTGTTAGAAGTGAGTACTGCTATCCCTATAGTAGTTTGCTTCAAAGGAAAAGCCTTTCCTGCCTTTATTGGCCCCTGATTTGTGAATAAATATACAGTAACTATTCTGTCCACACAATTGTATTTCTGAGCAAAGCCAGATAGATCGATAACAAAAACTCTAATAGACCTGTGTTCTGTAAAAAGGTGTGGCTTTAATTAGCTTAATGCTAATTTCAGCATGCTGTATTTTCTATTGTTATCACAATAATTCAGTCCAGTTATGGTTCCAGTCTAATTTAGTTTAGGCATAGGCCACATCAGCCTCCATAATGAAATTTTGAATTTCAATTTAACATAACTGTTAGCACAGGAAGCTAACACTAAGCTTTAGAGGGGTAAGTACAACAGTGCCCCAGTGCCATATTGTAGCCAGCTAGTAGAAGTTGGTAAAGGAGGGATAAACAGTTCTCATGTACGGAGCATGGGTTCTACATGTTGCTGAAAAGAAGAACAGAACAGAACATGCACCTAAATTAGCACTGTCACCCACTAATGAGACTACATAGTTAGTGATTGTCTATTCACACTGATTTTTCCATAAATGAATAATCACACTTCTCACTGACACCTTACAGTGTTTTACAGAGTTTCCTCTCTTCCTGTAAGAAGCTCTAAATCCATCCACTGACAGCATGATGAGTGGGGGACACACAAACCTACACACAAAATCAGAGAAGGAAAACAAATGCTGGCACCTTAACCATTGTTTATTGTATAATATAGGCTAACATAGACCATAGAGAGGATGACATGAAAGAAGGGCCACAAGTTGGACTCCAACCCGTGCCACTGCAGTTATGAGGAAACTGATGATATAGTGATCTATAGGAGTGCTGTTCTACTGACTCTACCTGAACAAGGTGAGGTGTGTTTTCTCACAGCACACAGAGCTCGTCAGTTACTGCTCATTGATAAACTTCTCCAGTCCACCTGTAGCTGTAACTGGTTGGTTTTACTTGACGTCACATTATTCACGTATTATACAGGTGAGGTGGTTTCCCTAATCAGCAGGTTTGCTCCTCTGCTGAGAAGAAGACAGCTCTTGTTTTCCTTTCTTTCTGTGACATCATCCTCTACTCCACAGTTGACTGTTCTGGGCTGCTTGTACAGTCTGTTGTGCTTGTACAATGCAGCTTCTTCAAGCCTGGTTTGAGTTAATGTTGACTAAGCTCAGCTAAATGGTGAGAGCATGACGTGAAAGTCTATGTTAATTCTAACCGGGCTTTTTCAAGTAAGTGCAGATTTCCTGAGTGACATTGATGGAATACCCCCCTGGTCGTATCATTACCATTTTATTCTGCTTTATTGCTCAGATGTAAACATACCTGGCTGGACATTCAGGTATCTTGATATTCTCACACTCATCCTGCAGCCATAATTTTCTCCTGAATAAGAAGAATACAGAGAGAGATGTTAATATACAGCACGGCTCTGAGGATGGTAACGTCGGTTTGTCAGTCAGTCCACCACTTTAGTCTGGACTAAAATATCTTAACAACTACCATATGGATTGTAATTACATTTTATATAGACATTCATGGTTCCCAGAGGATGAATCCCACGGACTTTGGTGATTCCATGACTTTTTCTATAGCACCATTCACAGATTCATTTGTGGTTTTGAGTGCATTGTCTGGATGTTGGATGGATTGCCATATAACTTGGTTCAGATATTCCCCTCAGGCGCAGTTAGATTTTTTGTTCATGGACACGTGCGTAGAGACGTTAGTTCTCCTCTCAGTTATTTAACTAATCCAGATTTTGTCAGCTATCACACCCCATACCGCAGCAGTTCAGCGATGTGAGCCGCCACGCTCACGCCACGCATCCAGTGTTATCGGACGGAAAGCTGTAAGGAGATATGTCACTTCTATCTCAGTATGGTTCTAATAAGGTTTATTTTTAGATTAACCTGGACTTTAATCCTTGTCTCATTGTAAGTATATAGGTGAAAATCATCTTGGTCTTAAAGTGATTTTGGGAAACTGGATCCTGACCGCTATAAAATAGATAGATAGATAGATAGATAGATAGATAGATAGATAGATAGATAGATAGATAGATAGATAGATAGATACTTTATTTATTCCCTAGGGGAAACTCATGTGTCCATTAGCTCATTGTTGATAATAATAATAATAATAATAATGATAATAATAAAAACAGTTAATAATAAATAAACAATAATAATTACATTAGTCCACTTCCTTTGGCTGAGTTGTTATACAGGCTGATGATAGTGGGAACAAAGGATCTCCTGAACCTCTCCGTTCTGCAGTGCAGTGAAATGAGACATTTGCTGCAGTTGCAGCTGTTTCTCTGTCCTGCCAGAACATTGTGGAGAGGATGGTTGGTATTGTCCATGATGGCCTCCATCTTACATTGCATGTGTCTCTCCACAACAGTACTGAGTGAGTCTAGACTCCTGCCAAGCACAGACCCAGCCTTTTTGACCAGCTTATCCAGTCTCTTTGTGTTCATGTCGGACATGCTGCTGCCCCAGCAGACTGCAGTATTAAAAAGTTCACTGGCCACCACTGACTGATAAAACATGCGCAGCATTTCACTGCAGACGTCAAAGGACCTGAGCCTCCTGAGGAAGAAAAGAATATGTCACGACTGGACAGGGAAGTGAACCCAAACGCACGACTCAAGACCAAAAGATCCAAAAATAAACAATCTTTATTGATAAAGTAACAACAAAAAACACTCTCTTAGGAGGCAAAAAACTACTAACAAAAAATCGCTCTTGATAGAGGAAAAAACACGTTCGTGAGAAAATAACCAGGATAACACAAAAATACAAAGGTACCTGACGTGGCTTGGCTATGGTGTGAACTGGCTTGGCTGACTGTAACAAACAAGACGAACTAGCACAGGACAAAGGGAGACACAGACTCTAAATACACACAAGGTAAGGGGACACAGGTGGAGACAATCAGGGAGGGGCAGGCAATCAGGGAGGGGCAGGCAATCAGACAGGCGGGACACACACGGGGGGGAAGGAGCCAGTTATCTGAAACGAGAGGGAAGTAAGATTTCAAAATAAAACAGGAAGTCACGAGACATAAAGACAGGACAACACAAAAATAACTTAACATAATCTCTTGGACATGACAGAATATGGTATTCTAGCCACTACCTGGATCACCACTGGGATATTTTTGAGTATCACTGTGACAGTGCTTACATATAGTGTTCAGTGCTTTATACAGTATATGGTTCAGTCCAATCTAATTTGTGGAGGTGGATAGAATCTTTATTAAAGTTATAGCAGTCATGTCAAGTCCAGAGAAATCACTTCACAGTTTCAAAACCAGGAAAATAAAAGTAAATGAAATCTCAGCCGATATGTTGTGTACTATCTGCCCACTTTAATCCTGCTCTGTCACAAACTCTACAAAAGCTCAAAAAAGACATGAGTCTGCAGACAGCTATTAGTCAGAAGTCAACGGTACAATGAACTGAAGAAACTGTGTTATTGTCTGATTCCTAACTTGGACTGCTGTTGTGACTGAGTTGTACCTCCATGTTATTGAGAGTGTGAATGGTGAGCACGCCAGTTTTGTGAGAAGTCACGACGTCACCATACTACCAGCACCACCTGTTATACAATTAAAGCACTCCTCTCATGTTCTCCCTCTCTGTCCATTACTTTCAGTCTCCTCCTCAAAGCCCTCGCCCCGACCTCAGAGAGGTCCCTGCTGATGATGGACTCCTAAAGCCTTTCTCCGACACCACTGAACCAACCAGAACCAGACAGCCATGAACCCCCAGGAGATGGAGCTCGGCCAGGAAGTGATGGAGGAAACCGACGCCCCTCCTCACCATCGCCACAACAACCACAACAGCCGGTCCCGTAACCACAGCAACCAGGAAAACCCGTACAGACGCTGTGAAGCCCCGGCTGGAGGAAGCGCTGGCGGCAGAGCCAGGGCGACACAACAGCGTAGGCCACAGGAGGAGCAAGACATGGAGCTGCAGTATGGAGCTCAGTCCCCACAGCCCCAACAACCCCAACCCATTCCTCGACCCGCAGTGACACGTTATCGCAGACAGGGGGACAGCGAGGCCCGGATCCGAGCCCAGCAGCAGAGGCACAGACAGAGGCAGCAGAGGGAGGCAGAGAGAGCACAGCACTTAGCACAACAACAGGAAAAGCAACACCACGCAGAGATGACCCAGGAGGATGAACGAGAGAGGGACGACTCAGTGCTGGCCCGCTCTGCCAGCACCGAGAGCGGCTTCCACACCCACACTGACCGAGCCGAGGGGGACGATGGCCTGGTCATGATGTCTCTGGAGCCTGAGGGGCAGCCAGAGGCAGAGGATGAGGCGGGGAACTACGGAGTTCAGCTACGGCCAGAGGCGGAGGGGTACTCTGAGAGTGCCGAGGCTGAACAGCAACATCTCCATCCACATCTATCCAACTATCCTCCTCAGACCCCACCCCTGCCTGATATCCAGAACCCTCAGAGAGAGGATGAAGCAGAGGGGATACTAAACGCTGGCTACTCCAACTACGTCTACACCCAGCCCCTCAGCCACTCCGGGGGGAGGGCTGACGTCTTGGTCGGTCAGAGCTTGGAGAGTTTAGATACTGGACTTGTGGATGAAGCCTATTCTGAGCCATATGACATTTACTCACTGTCTGAGCATGTTTACGAGGAGATCTGTGACGCTCCAACGTCAGTTTCATCTGCTGCGGAGGGGGCTGGGGAGCCAGAGTCTCTCCAACAGAGGAGGGCCGGCTTTCGGCTGCTGGAGAGCCGGGCCGGAGGTGGCAACTACCATCAGCAGGAGGCGGTGGGCTCCCGCCTGCGCCATTATGATGAGCGCTCAGATGGCGAGTCAGACAGCCCAGAGAAGGAGGCAGAGTTTGCCCCATACCCCCGTGCAGACAGCTGTGAGCAGGAGGAAGACATTGACAGCATTGTGGCTGAGGTCAAAGAAAGCCTGAGCTCTCAGAGTCTTCATCATTGTGCAGAAGACACTATTGATGAAGAAAATGAGCTAACACAGGAAGAAGAAAAACCCCAACCAGAGTCCCAGGCCAACTCCGATAAAAACCACAAAGCTGCCAACCGAGGGAAGCCAGCCCGAAAACAGGCAGTGAGTCCTTCAGAGGAGCCTGTAGCAGTGAGGAACAGTCAGGAGAAGAGGGACGCCATAAGTCTGGCCATCAAGGACATCAAGGAGGCCATAGAGGAGGTTAAGACCAGAACGGTGAGATCCCCTTACACACCTGATGAGCCCAAGGAGCCTATCTGGGTGATGAGGCAGGACCTGAGCCCCACTGCCGAATGTGACCTTCAGCCATCATTGGGGGGTGACGTAAGTACAGCATTTCTGGATATTATTGATCAAGCTGTATTGGATAATATCTCTGTTGTGTTAGTCTGCTGTTTATATATGAATGTCTTAGTATACTTTGCTGACCTTCTAGGGTCAGGTCTGTTTTCTCTCCCTGACCTCTGGTTGTGTCACAGTGGTTAGACACCTTTGAGTCTCTTTACTCTCTGAGGCGGCTGTTCTGGTGTAGGCCAGACCCCTTACTGTTGTTCCAGTGGAGGGAACTCTTAATGCTCCAGCATGCTGTCATATTTACACAATAGTCCTGAAAATGGTCCTGATCTCAACCTTTGGGATGAACTGGACTGTGGGGCAGACCTCAGGGGCTGACATGGAGTAGTTTTCTGGTGTTCACATACGTATCTTTGGCCATGCAGTGTATTTTATGATCACACAGTCGACTGACAGAATATGTAAATACCCATCAGTGACAGCACCTGTATCGTGCATTGCCTCTACAACACAGGTGATGACACAGAGTTAAATTGTTCATCAGGACTTCACCAACTCATCCACACCACTATTTAAAGCTGCTGTTTTCCAAAGCTGAGAAGTCAGAGAAGACACAAACACAGAGGTCACATTAATCGACTGAATTAGCTGAGGTGTCGCCGAGCAGACAGCTAGCTGCTAGACACAGAGCAGTTAGCTAACTGTCACTTAAGGGCCCTCAATTATTCATAACTTTAAGCCTTGATAAAATGTAAACAGGTGACTTATATCAAAATTAACCTGCTGTACAGTTATCATGAAAGAGGAAATTAGCTATAGAGACCAAAACCGGTTTTTGTTCCAGACTGTAATCATTTCTGATGTAAAGTTGAACATTTTAACATGAGAGTCGATGGGGATTGACTCACTGTTGGAGCCTGTCTCATTAAAGGAACAGCAGTTTTTGACACTTCAGTGTTGGCTTAATTTTTTAGCATTTTTCAGTTGGCTCTTGGCCACTATCCATGCTAATGCTAACAATGTATTCACCACAAGGGCAATAGACATACATAGTATGATCCTGTGTTTCTGTAAATCCTACAGAAAGAGAAGGAGGCTGGTTTACGACAATGAGCTGCTGTTTAAAATATTAAACATATGAAGTCACCCCATGTACCCAAACACACACACTCCTCTCTGACACGATTGAGATGAGTGTGTGTGTTCAGTGGCCTACAGAGCAGGAGTCGGGATGTGGGTAGCTTAGCTTAACATACAGAAGCAGAAGCAGTGGGCCACAGTTCCAGAATGAAAGTCTTCCTAAAACCACATTTATGTGTGTTTGGATGAGACACACGTTGATGAGAGAGGTGTGGGATCACAGTCTGTCAAAGATGGTGTGGGTGGTGAGGAGATCACAAACCATTAAACTGAACAGTCCTGTCCACTCCTCCAAACATCGTCCTCGGCCTGAATAGAACCCCCTCCCCTGTTGTCACTCCCTCTTCTCAATGATTTATTCAGTGAGGGTGAGACAGAGAAAGGTGAATGTAAGACAGGTTTAATAATTCAGTGAGGATCCAATAACAGAAAGACAGGCTCTGGTTTCCTGCTGACATCACAGTGATCAGAATGTACCTGAGAGGATTTAATAACACCTGGGCTTCAGCCTTCCTATTTATGGGTAGAGATCAGACAGACAGATGCAAAGACAGGTAGACAGACAGGTAGACAACCTGTTGCTTCCATGGTGAATCCTGATACCTCAGTATCACCTGAGCAGTGGACTCTCAGTCTCCTGGTGTATTTGACCACACGACTGTGCTCTGGACACCAGTTCACCTGTGCTCTGGACACCAGTTCACCTGGGCTCTGGTTGGTTGAGGTTCATCATGGAAAACTTCTGGATGTATCAGGTGGAGAAGCTTGAGGAGGAACAAGCCAAGCAGAGACCACAGACTGAGCAGCAGGAGACAGATGAGGTGTGGACAGAGTGGTTTTTATACTGGTGTGTTGGTGATTCATATCTGTAGTGGTGGTTTGATATGTGGAGAGTGGTGACATTGGCCAAATGATGTGTTTTATGGGTTCATATCAGAAACAGAGGGTGATGGTGGTGTCTAATGTTTTATCACCATGTTTGGATTTTTAGCAGAAGTATCAAAATTAAAAGTTTTTATAATTTCTGCATTATGGATTATGTATAATAAACTAGTACATTATTTTTTACAGATACATTACATGTACAGTTGCATTTTAATATTGTAACTGGTGGAGCTATTTTAACTTTAAGTCTAAGTCGTTTGGGGCTAATTACAGAATCATTAAGTGAAAATAAGTAGATATGTCTGGGAACAGACTAAGTCAGGACTTGGTGCTGTTAGGAGACATGTGCCACGATGTATAAGGTCGATAGATTATTAACAACTTTCAAATATAGTTTAAGTACCTCCAAACACTGGGCATGTGATTAATGACATGCATGTTAAAATGTGAAATTGGTTGTTTTTGTAAACAACACTTAGTTTAGTTAGTTAGTTAGTATGTATCAGTATTTTCAGAATTCATCCACCGGACCTGAGGAAATGTCAGATGACATCACTTTACTGTAAATTCATCAGTGTAACATTCATAATCTGCATTAATGTTTAATGATTAGTTTACAGATTATAATGTGGATGTGTCTGCTCCTGTCTCCAGCCTCAGCTCACTGCTCCCAGGCTCCCAGAAGAAAGTTGAGTAAATATTAGACAGCTCAGCCCCCAGCTGCTGGAGACGCCCTGTGTCCACTGAACTGTGTCGGTGTATCACTGACTTTAAACGTGAAAGTGCTAGATTTTTGTTTTTATAAAGAACCATTTTATGGAGCTAATTTATTCCCGCATTCTGGGAAAGATGTACTGGTGTGGACAGAGTTGTGTTTGATTAGATAATTCAGCTCCAGGTAAAAAACCTCCTGAACCACTGACACTGAAAAAGTCCAAACCAAGTGGATTTTACGGTAATGGTGGTGAAGACTCAGCTCCCATGATCCCACACTACTTCACAACATCACCCAACGCTGTCTTTTGTTATTGTTTTGAATGACCCCTAGAGGCAGAAGTTACAGACTGTGTGTTTAAAGGCAAATGGGGGTCACAGTAAATACTGGTCTGTTTCGGGTTTCTCTTTTTGCTGAACTTTGGATGAAGTTCATTTATGAATAAAAACTGTTCCTGGTTCTAAAAATGTCCTGACTTTAACTTTAGAGCCTAAAACTGTCGCACAGTTCTGTTTGTGAAGCTTCATGAATAAATGGACAGTGAAGGATGTTTATTTCAGTTTAACTGGATCAGTTTAACAGCTGCTGAAAAACTCAACAACTCAACTGAGTTTAATTAAAAACAGCTTCAGTCTCTGTTTTCCTTGGAGTTAGAACCAAACACATGGTGCTATTTGTTGTCTGCAGATAGATTGTTATGAGATGAGAAACCAGTGTCAGGCTAATTACCTCTTTGACATTAATCTGTTTATTGAGATCATTTCCTCAGGCAAAATTTCAACAGGCCCTTAAAGACCTGATTCAATTCAAAATGTCAAAAACCGTTCACCCATCATAATGACAAGTGTTTGTGGTCTAGGGACTTTTTTCTCCTTCATTATTTCCAGTGTCTGCTGCTCTGTTTGTGTTGCTGGTGTCAGTGTTTAAACAAGATCCTGGGGCTGGTTTCACAAAGTGACTTTGAATGTCTTAGATATAACAAAGAGTCAGACTTCATGCTTCATGCTATGCGTTGCACATAGCAGTTTAGGTCATGACTATCTTAAGGTGGACTGTGGTACAATGACTTCTGGGTAAATCAAGACTAGCAGAAAATGTTTGTCTTTTGGAAGATTTCAACAGTTACAAGAATGTTTTACTTGAAGAGGTTAACAATAAAAAGAAAAATCTGATTTGGTACATAACAAAGTTAGCCAACCACAAATTATGAGCCATGTTTTCCTATTTTTTGTTGTTTGGTGCTACTGGTTAGCACAAGTGTCAATGATTGTTACCGTAGTAGCATTGGTCTTGGCGCTGCGTTAGCCTGGGGGTAAGGTGTCTAATGTTTTTTGGCTTAAAATAAGTCTTTATTTTTGTGAAACAGTCAGACTAACATTAGACTAATCTGTGAGCCGAATGAAACTGCTCCCTAATCTCACACACACTCTGGATCCAATACCTGTCCATGGAGATAGATTTATTTTTACGTGTCCAGGTTTTCATGAGCACATTGTCTTGTCTTGTAATGTGGGTTTTCAGTTCTCTTCACAAAGTTGGAGGCAGAAATGTCAAACCTGGACAAAAATAAAAACCAGAACCAGATTCCACCAGAGGCAGAATATGCTGTTTAAACCAGCCTTTTAAATGGTGTGAAAGTCATAAAAGAAATATTAAAAAACAAAGTACGGTCCCAGCCAAGTGTATGAGCCTGCAGGATGCTTCTGTGTTCTGAGAGAGAGCTGCCCTCTCCCTCACAGGGATGACATGTAATGCTGTGATGTGTCCATTCAACACCCCCGATGTTGACTTTAAAGAGGCTCTGAGGTCTTTCACGCCTTCACAGAGTCTGATGCACAATTAACCTTTAATCACCTTTAATGACCTTTGTGCTGAGTTCAGATCAGTTTTTTCAAGTGTCGTATGTGGACTGTACAGGCCTCAGATCAGGGCATGTTCAGAGAGCTGCTGTCTCAGCCTCAGAGTCTCCTGAAATAGAGCAGTGACTCCCAGACTCTCACATCAGGTTTTAATGACAGTTTAATTTCGCATTCACACTGAAGAAACCCAACAGGCTTAACTGAGCTTTATCTGGATGCTACAGGAAAAACAAAGTTCCAGTTGCTTCACTCATTTGGTACCATGGGTTTAAAAGTGGTTCCTGTTCTGTCCCTGCAGTCTCCTGGTTCAGGCTCGCCCTCTCCTCCAGGAGCAGAGTCCTCCAACAGACACCTGCTGCAGGACGACAGCTTTGAGTCCTCTCCATCCAGTAAAGAGGTGTGTTCACTGTGCAGTAGATCTTCACTGTGTCTGTACGACATGTTGATGTCTGATGTTCTCCTCTCTCTCTGTTCTCAGTCCAGGAGAAGCCTCGCCTCCTTCCCCACATATGTAGAAGGTGAGTGCTCCATCCTCTGGTGCAGAGGTTCTCAGACTGAGGGGGATTAGACTGGGGGAGGTGAAGGGACAGATGATTTCTGGTAATAAAATGGCTGCTCATCAACACAGTTGGGAGCCTCCTCCAATCAGCCAAGTTGTAGGAAATATGGTCTCTCCTTTCTGAGCGACAGCATTGAATAATGGCCACAGGTGTTTTTGCAGAACATTATGATGTCACAGTGAAGTTGACCTTTGACCTTTTGGATATAAAATGTCATCACTTAATTTTATCCTTGTAGACATTTGAGTTAAATTGTGTCATAATTAGTGAATGAATTTTTGAGTTATGGCCAAAAATGTGTTTTGTGAGGTCACAGTGTGACAGAAGTGAGGAAATACCCTCTGGGTGTTCCTGATACATTGTATTCACAAGAACGTGAGGTCACCACAACCTTGACCTTTGACCTTTTGACCACCAAAATCTAATCAGTTCATCCTTGAGTCCTAGTGAATGTTTGTGCCAAATTTGAAGAAGGTCCGTCAAGACTTTACTGAGATATCGTGTCCACAAGAATGTGATGGACAACCAGAAAACAATATGCCTCTGGATCTGGCTGTCACCGACACGGGGGAATAAAATATATCGTCCATAACGACTATAATATATAGTCCAGGTTTCCTGATTTCATCAACATTAAAGACTTAAAGACATTAAAGACTTATAATAAAACTGCAGATCTTGATAACTCGATAACAATTTTATGAAAGGACCAACATTCAACTGCAACATGACCATTGTTATTTTTTTATTAAAACACAGCACAATATTGTAAGACAGTCAGTATTTAAGCAGTATTACAATTGTATAGTATATACGGTACAGTATGAAATATCATTAATAAAACCTGTGGTCGATGACTCTGTGAATCCCAAAGTGGGAGGAGACATGGTGTGACACAGAGACTGACCCTCTCTCCTCCTCCCAGTCCCAGGCCCGTGTGACCCAGAGGACCTGATCGATGGGATCATCTTTGCAGCCAACTACCTGGGCTCCACCCAGCTGCTGTCAGATAAAACCCCATCCAAGAACATCCGCATGATGCAGGCTCAGGAGGCCGTCAGCCGCATCAAGGTGACCCCACACACACACACACACACACACACACACACACACACACACACACACACACACACACTAACACACACACATACAGATATACACAGACACACACAGACAACCAGCTGTATCTCTCTCTGTCGATATACACTTTGTTCAGTAGTACAGTGTTTGGCCTCAGTTCTAAGTGACATGTCTGTAGGAAACCAGACATTGTACAATAGTGAGTCTGTCCTGAGCTGACTGTGTGTCTCACTTCCTTCCAAGCTCCTACACCGTCATCATTAGTAAAGACAAGTGTAGAAACTACAGAGCCTGGGAGCCGAAAACACTGATGATGTCTCAAATGACTGCTAGATGATCATTAACAATTAAATTTAACTATGAGTCATAACAAGCTCCTGCACGGACGTCCAGAGGACACACTACGCTCTCCACACACACTGTGCCATCTCTTTCTCTGCACTAAGCCAAACTACAACCACAACACTGAGAGCTGTTCACATTAAAACTTAATCATTCTGTGCTGAAAACCAGAGCTCAGTGCTGGTGCAGTGTGAGAGCACAGCTGGTGAGCGGAGACTTAAACTGTTTACTGGACAAGAGGAACTGGTGCAGTCTATCACAGCTGTCCAGAGGAAACACACTCTGCAGCTGGTGAGGAGCTGCTTCTCTGTATGCTGCTGCTCATGTCGCCTAACCTATGACTGACAGACAACTTATCTGAGGCAACATCATCACATTTGAATCTGGATCTGAAATCTGAGCCTGAATCTGAGTCTGAATCTGAATCTGAATCTGAATCTGTGTCTAAATCCGAATCTGAATCTGTGTCTAAATCTTAATGTGAAATCTGAATTCTGAACCTGTGTCTATATGTGAATGTGAAATCTGAATTTGAATCTGGGGGAGAATACTGTGGTGATGAAGCCACATCCAGGGTCACCCCAGAACAGCCCCATGTGAGCAGGGGGCAGGATGGATTTTTATAGAAGTATATTTAAATGATCATTTTAATTAGACATTACAGGTTGGAGAACAGGTGTATCAATCTCTGTGTATCAGATTATTTTGTCACAGTAGGTAAAGTGTTTAAACTAACAAGGACTTTGGGAACAGCAGAAACTAAAAGTATCAGATCAGACTCCAAAACATCAAGTTCATCCTATGCAAATTAAAAAGCAGTTAATTTGTATGTTAGCCTGGACTTTTCACAACATACAGGAACAGTATTTAAATATTTGCATGTTCCTCTGATGTGTACTGACTTCAGGACTCTTATTATGGTAAGAGGTTGTGGTAATTGGAATCAATAGAACTTGTTCACAGTCTCACATTTTTTCTATAACAGTTACATTTACATAATACATTCAATTACATACAGTTACATACAATTAAATACAATTGCATATAATTACATACAGTTACATACAATTACATACAGTTATATACAGTTACGTACAATTACATACAGTTACATACAGTAACATATAATTACATACAATAACATACAGTTACATACAATTACATACAATTACATACAGTTACATACAATTACACATAATTACATATAATTACATAGTTACATACAATTACATACAATGACATACAATGACATATAATTACATACAGTCACATACAATTACATATAATTACATATAATTACATACAGTTACATACAATTACATATAATTACATATAATTACATACAGTTACATACAATTACATATAATTACATATAATTACATACAGTTACATACAATTACATATAATTACATATAATTACATACAGTTACATACAATTACATATAATTACATATAATTACATACAGTTACATACAATTACATATAATTACATATAATTACATACAATTACATACAGTTACAGACAATTGCATATAATTACATACAATTACATACAGTTACAGACAATTGCATATAATTACATACAATTACATAAAATTACATATAATTACATATAATTACATACAGTTACATACAATTACATATAATTACATACAGTCACATACAATTACATATAATTACATACAATTACATACAATTACATATAATTTCATACAATTATATACAGTTACAGACAATTACATATAATTACATACAATGACATACAATGACATACAATGACATATAATTACATACAGTCACATACAATTACATATAATTACATACAATTACATACAATTACATATAATTTCATGCAATTATATACAGTTACAGACAACTACATATAATTACATACAGTTACAGACAATTACATATAATTACATACAGTTACATACAATTACATACAATTGCATATAATTACATATAATTACATACAATTACATACAATTGCATATAATTACATATAATTACATACAATTACATACAATTACATACAATTACATACAATTACATACAATTACATACAGTTACATACAATTACATATAATTACATACAATTACATACAGTTACATACAATTACATATAATTACATACAATTACATACAATTACATACAATTACATATAATTACATACAGTTACATACAATTACATACAATTACATACAATTACATACAATTACATACAGTTACATACAATTACATATAATTACATACAGTTACATACAATTACATACAATTACATACAGTTACATACAATTACATATAATTACATACAGTTACATACAATTACATACAATTACATACAATTACATATAGTTACATACAATTACATACAATTACATACAATTACATATAATTACATACAGTTACATACAATTACATATAATTACATACAATTACATACAATTACATACAATTACATATAATTACATACAGTTACATACAATTACATATAATTACATACAATTACATACAATTGCATATAATTACATACAGTTACATATAATTACATACAATTACATACAATTGCATATAATTACATACAGTTACATACAATTACATACGGTTACATACGGTTACGTACAATTACATACAATTACATACAATTACATACAGTTACGTACAATTACATATAATTACATACAATTACATACAATTACATACAATTACATATAATTACATACAGTTACATACAATTACATACAGTCACATACAATTACATATAATTACATACAATTACATACAATGACATACAATTACATATAATTACATACAGTCACATACAGGTACTTACAATTGCATATAATTACATACAGTTACGTGCAATTACATACAGTACATACAATTACATGCAATTACATACAGTTACATACAGTTACATATAATTACATACAATTAGATATAGTTACATACAATTACATACAGTTACATACAATTACATATAATTACATACAATTACATACAATTACATATAATTACATACAATTACATACAATTACATACAATTACATATAATTACATACAGTTACATACAATTACATATAATTACATACAATTACATACAATTACATACAATTACATATAATTACATACAGTTACATACAATTACATATAATTACATACAATTACATACAATTACATACAGTTACATACAATTACATATAATTACATACAATTACATACAATTACATACAGTTACATACAATTACATATAATTACATACAATTACATATAATTACATACAGTCACATACAATTACATATAATTACATATAATTACATACAGTTACGTGCAATTACATACAGTTACATACAATTACATACAATGACATATAATTACATACAATTACATATAATTACATACAATTACATCCAATTGCATATATTTACATACAGTTACATACAATTACATACAGTTACATACAATTACATACAGTTACGTACAATTACATATAATTACATACAATTGCATACAGTTACGTACAATTACATATAATTACATACAGTTACATACAATTACATACAATTACATACAATTACATATAATTACATACGGTTACATACAATTACATACAATTACATACAGTTACATACAATTACATATAATTACATACAGTTACATACAATTACATACAATTACATACAGTTACATACAATTACATATAATTACATACAGTTACATACAATTACATATAATTACATACAATTACATACAATTGCATATAATTACATACAGTTACATATAATTGTATACAGTTACATACAATTACATACAGTTACAGACAATTACATACAATTACATATAATTACATACAGTAACATATGATTACATACAATTACATATAATTACATACAATAACATATGATTACATACAATTACATACAGTTACATACAGTTACATACAATTACATATAATTACATACAATTACATACAGTTACATACAATTACATACAGTTACATACCATTACATACAATGACATATAATTACATACAGTCACATACAATTACAAATAATTGCATATAGTTACGTACAATTACATATAATTACATACAATTACATATAGTTACATACAATTACATACAGTTACATACAATTACATACAATGACATACAATTACATATAATTGCATACAGTCACATACAATTACAAATAATTGCATACAGTTACGTACAATTACAAATAATTACATACAATTACATATAGTTACATACAATTACATACAGTTACATACAATTACATATAGTTACATACAATTACATACAGTTACATACAATTACATACAATGACATACAATTACATATAATTGCATACAGTCACATACAATTACAAATAATTGCATACAGTTACGTACAATTACAAATAATTACATACAATTACATATAGTAACATACAATTACACACAGTTACATACAATTACATACAATGACATATAATTACATACAGTTACATACAGTTACATATAATTGCATACAGTTACATACAATTATATACATTTACATACAATTAGATATAATTACATACAATTACATATAATTGCATACAGTTACATACAATTATATACAGTTACATACAATTAGATATAATTACATACAGTTACAGACAATTACATATAATTACATAGAGTTACATTCAATTACATGCAATGACACACAATGACATAATTACATACAGTTAGATACAGTTACAGACAATTACATATAATTGCATACAGTTACATACAATTACATACAGTTACATACAATTACATATAATTACATACAATTACATACTGTTACATATAATTACATATAGTTATATACAATTACATACAGTTACATACAATAACATACAATTACATATAATTACATACAGTTGCATACAATTGCATATAATTACATACAATTACATACAGTTACATACAATTACATACAGTTTACATACAATTAGATACAGTTACATACAATTACGTACAGGTACTTACAATTACATATAATTACATACAGTTACATGCAATTACATACAGTTACATACAATTACATACAATTACATACAGTTACATACAATTACATGTAATTACATACAGTTACAAACAGTTACATACAGTTACATACAATTGCACACAGTTACATACAATTACATATAATTACATACAGTTACATATGAGTACACATGTCAAGGTTATTGATTAGTAACTGATAATACAACAGTTAGTTCTGACCAAGTATTTTGATTGGACGAGAGGCATTCCATAAGTGCTGATATAGAGTATAACAGCACTGGAACTTTTAACTACATGTATCACTCCACTTTACAGGTGTTCTATTGACCATTAATTAGAGTTACATTAATCTATGTTAGATTGTAACAAACTGTGCAAAGGTCAAAATATTTCCAGAAATAACATTTGAATTAAATGATGTCTGGTCGTCAGAAGAGGATGGAGGGAAGAAGCCTGGATACTTCAGCACACACCTGAGGTAATGTGAAGTCTGGAATGGGTCTGGCTCCAGGTGCTAGCTGAAAGCTGAACCAGGACCAAAACTTGTCCTAGCTCTGGACAGGACCTAGACTTTCAGCAGAAGGTTGACATTACTGTTTTATAACCCTCACAGCTATCAAGTAGAAGTTATGACGAGATGCAGTTGATTTCTTAACAGCTGTGGTTTGGACTATTAGACCAGGTAAAATTCAAAAAGATCTTTATTCAGCCTTTAGCATAAGTTATTTTGCATGTATAACATGGATAACTTGGTGTGTTGTTTGTGTTGTTTGCCTCGACACGTGAAGCTTAGACCCAAAAATGTGTTTCTGTTTTCTGAATTTTGACTTTGACCTGTGGGTCAGTGTTTCAGCACAACTGTCAGAAAACTACAACATCATCAGAATCTCTGCTGTACACTCTGAACGGTGGAATCATACTGTCGTCTGCTGACAGTCAGTGAAGGAAGCTTCATCAGTCAAAGTGCTCCTCTGAGGTCACACTGGTTTTTTAGTCCTAGAACCACTTTCAGAGCCAGTCCCAGGAGGATCAGGCCCAGGTTCAGTAGCCTATATAGTTCATGACACATAAACACAACCAAACAAATAGTCACTGTACAGTGGCAGTACAGATCAAGGGTATTAACTGCCACACTCTGAACACCCCCCCACCCCCACCCACCCCCATGATCCAGTCTCTCCTGTTCTCTAACCCATTACTCTCCTATCTGCTTTATTCCATGCCTGCAGACGGCCCAGAAATTAGCCCAGAACAGGAAGAAGGTGCAGTACCACATATTCGTCTCATCGCCCACTGCCTCTTCCCTCTGCTTGGCTCTGTGTCTGTGTCTGTGTCTGTCTCTGTGTGTCTGTGTATCACTGTCCTGTTCTTCAGTGTTCTGTTGTTCTGATGAAATGTTTCCTGCGACCAGCTGATGTTCATTGTTTGGTCTCTGGTCTCTGTTTTTTTATTTTTGTTCCTGCTGATCTCTGGTCTTTGTCAGACTGGTGAAGTGCTTGTGATGGGAGGAAACCAGTTTGCTGGATGCAGGAAATGGCTCATCTCTCTCTGGCACTGAGGTCTTACTGGTTTGTGGTTGTCTTCAGTCTGCTTCTCATTCGGGTGCTGACTCTGCAGTGATCACCTACATCCTCTTGTTTGTTAACCTCTCCAGAGCAAGATGACAAAATACACATCAGATCATGTGTGTGTGTGTGTATGTGTGGTACAGACAGGTCTACTGCCATGCTAGCAGCTCTGGAACGATAGCATTTTAGTCTAAATGCTAATGTTAGCATGCTATCTTGCTCACAGTGACAACAATAACATATTTAAGTTGTGATTGTTTACCATCTTCATATGATGTGTTAGCATGCTAACATGCTGTTAAACAGAAAGTACAGCTGAGGTCTGTGGGGATGTGAATGTGAACCAGTGCGTGATGAAGAGTTTCATCAGTGCCAATAGGGTTCATCCTCTGGGAACCATGAATGTCTGTATCAGACTTCATGTTAATCCATCCTGACCTTGTTGAGATCTTCCAGTCTGGACCAGAGGGGCCATCACGAGAGCCATTTGTTTTACTTCTACTAACATGACATGTAACTGATTTTACTGATGTTACATACTGACCTATGATTAGCTTTTATAGTTATCTTATAAAATATTATGTGTTCTCAGTGATTAATGTATGTTAACGGTTTTAATTCATCACTATGGTTCCCCCTCAGGGAACCCAGGCCCAGAGCCTACAGCTGGATTCAGGTTATGAATGGCTACATGGTTTAAAAAATGAATAACTGAAAAGTGCTGTGGTCCCAGTCTTTGTACTAAGATAATGGATTTGTAAACTGATGTTGTCATATTTCTCTGGGATGAGACGTTCATTTTCAAAATGTTGAACTGTCCCGTTAACCGTCATGTGACATCGTAACAGTACTGACTGAACCACTAAAACATGCACTGCTGTTCACTGTATAACCTCTACTGATTTTGGTATCAGTGTGTGTGTGTGTGTGTGTGTGTGTATAAACACTGCCATCTACCATGTGTGATGCTCAATGACAGCAGCAGCTGAATTCTTAATGTCTATATATGTGGTGTTATGTGGGGTGTGTATTGGTTCAGTTTGGGCAGGTATTTTCTACTGAAGTTGAAACCACTGAAACTGAACTAATAATTATTAGACCCAAGGAAAACAAGTACTACAAATAAGTACTACACCATTGTTTTTGTTTTATTGAGTCCATTCTCCACAAACCATATATATATATATATACTGTATATATATATTTCACATTAGATTATTCTGTTTTCACGACTTCAAGTCTTGGTGACATGTCAGAACTTAAACACACAGTGTCAACATCTGTGTGCTCACAGTAACAGTAGGGTTGATGTTCATTGATGGGCTGTAAGTTTCAGATTAGTGTACATTAAGGCTATTTGTTGTTGTTTTTTTGTTTCAAACCAAAAAACCATAGGATTTCCTTTTGCAATAATCTACTGGTGAACCTACCAGAGTTATTAGATGTGATCTCAGATCACTGGCAGGTCACTGAAGGAGCAGAGAGGTGAATGAATGAATGAACAGTTTTCTGTCAGTGTGTTTTCTGGTTGTAATGAGACAGTTACTGACCTCTAACATCTGCTCACTAACATTTGGTTTTTTAATGTCTGTCTTGTGTTTATGAATCTCTGTGTAATATAATATGTGACTTTGTGTGCTGTGTGCCTGTGTGTGTGTGTCTGTGTCTGTGTGTGTGTGTGTGTGTGTGTGTGTGTGTGTGTGTGTGTGTGTGTGTGTGTGTGTGTGTGTGTGTGTGTGTGTTTGTTTGTGTGTGTGTGTGCATGGGTGCGTGTGCGTGCTCGTGTGTAGGCCCCTGAGGGTGAACCTCAACCCATGACAGAGGTGGATCTCTTCATCTCCACCCAGAGAATCAAAGTGCTCAATGCTGACTCCCAGGTACTCACACACACACACAGACACACACACACCTACACACACACACACACACATACCTTTTCTTATCACCTCATCCACCAGTTTAAACATTTCAGCAGGGTTTCCCAACCTTTTCCAAGTCACGGCCCACTTGAAAATGTCAAAAATGTTGCTGGCCCACATCCAACTCCATAACAATAGGAGGCCAAATAATGTCTTCTCAGAGCACTTTTTATTGTAATAATAACGGGCAAACATGCTGTGGAAAGCAGGGGAAACATGTCGGAAGCCCCACAGTCCCTAACACAGCATCTGAATCACGTTGCAACACTTTCAGTGTTACAGACTTTTCAAGGAGCTGTCCATCAGGACTACATTAAACGGGCTGTCTGCAAAGGGCTAATTAACGAATAAATTATTACGAATTGATAGGCTTCTAAACACACATTAAACCAATGTAGGTCTACATATGCTGTAAATTCAGCAGGGGCAAAGCCAGACCGAATTTCAATACAAGCAACAGCCATTATTGCAAAGAAACAAAATGAAAACATTGCACTCTTACTTGTGGCTTTTTATAAAACTGCCAACAATATGAAGACTGCATGGTTTTTCAAAACAACAGTCCATTTCCAGTGGATTTCCTTTCCACTCCCCGCATAGAAAGACAGTATGTTTTTGTGCCAAATGAAACATCCACTGCTGGCTCATACAGGGGCTTTCATCCCCGACACGTATCCACAGCTGATTCACACTCATTCAAAAATGACATGTTTTATATCAAATCGATAAGTCTACAAACAGACACAAATTCAATGTGATCATACTGTAAATTCAGCCTGTAGGCATAACCAGAAGAAAAATATTTAAATAAATAAAGCAACAATTGCAACAAAACATAATTAAAGCATTGCACTAGTACTTATTGATAATTATAGAGCTGCAGTGGATCGGTTCAACAGTAGTTCAACAATATGTTGACTCACCTATGAGACAGCCGAAGTTGCATAGTGGCCATCAAATGCTTGATGTCTGGCACAATAGATGACAGTCTCAGTGGAAGATCTGGCTCAATATTCAGTTTATTTCTATGCCACAAGTGCAGAAAAATCCTGTCTCACAGAGGTATGTTGTTGGGAAAGGCATTAGTAATCTCAAATCTCAAGTCGGACACATCGGGATACTCAGAAGCAACATGAAACCAGAAGTTTGTCAGGGACTTCTGGGAGACAAACAGTTTTAATGCGGTGTCGCAGGAGAGATCCACAAGACTGTCTTGCTCTTTTGCGCTCAGGGCTGCGAGGGCCCCTTACGTGGCTGAAAATATTGTCCAGGTAACCCAATGTAGCCAACCACTCAAAATCACTGAAGCCATGCGCCAGTAAAAACACCCACATCTCATCACGTAACTCAAAAGGACGCGTCAACTTTTTCTTTCTTGTGTGACGGGGGAGAGGTCACTTGTCGATTCAACATCTGTCTCTTAACTCTCTTTCCTTTTAATTCTTCCTGTTGCCAACCAACTCTCCATTTTGATTCTCCAGTTTTTGACATGGATGTGATCTTTTAGAGCGCAATCAGCTTTTAATGAGCTGTTCATATTGTCTGGGTTGAATAAAGTTTGCAGTGTTTGGTAACTTAGCTTCTCTCCTCAGATTTAGATGATATGATGACTGAATGTTTCTCTGAGCAGGACACTATGATGGACCACCCTCTGAGGACCATCTCCTACATTGCTGACATCGGTAACATCGTGGTTCTGATGGCGCGGCGCAGGATGCCTCGACCCGACTCCCAGGAGAACGTGGAGGCCTCAGACCCAGGTCAAGACAGCAAGCGGCAGTACAAGATGATCTGCCATGTGTTTGAGTCTGAAGATGTGAGTCACAGTTACATGATGTATGATGATGACATGATCATGATGTTAATCAGCCATGACCACGGTTCTTTAACAACACCATAAAGAAGGGTCATTAACACTCTGTCCATGGTGTCCTCCAGGCCCAGCTGATTGCTCAGTCCATCGGTCAGGCCTTCAGCGTTGCCTACCAAGAGTTCCTACGGGCCAATGGCATCAACCCTGAGGACCTGAGCCAGAAGGAGTACAGTGACCTGCTTAATACTCAGGACATGTACAATGATGACCTCATCCACTTCTCCAAGTCTGAGAACTGCAAGGATGTAAGTGGATGTTTTATTCTCACAGTTTCACACTGGTTTAATATTTTTGGTGGGCTTGCTGACAATATTGTTCTCAGGTCAAAAAAGGTTTTCTTTATTCTTCTGCTCCCTTTTTTTTTGTCAGGATTTTTTTTCCTATTAAGATTAATGGAGGGAATGTTTAAATCCTTGAAAACTTTCTCTTGAAACTTTGAAACTCAGCTTCTTCAGCATAATTTTAGCTACAGACTTCATTTAAACTTTAAATGGGTCCCGAGACTTAAAGCTATTTAACCTATATTCAGCTTTTTGATATCTTGTACAGTTTTTGATTTATCACAGTTTAAGTTTTATGGTTTTTCTGGGGCGCCCCGATGGCTCACCTGGTAGAGTGTGTACCACATAGGCTTCGTCATGAAATTTCCCCTAGGGGATAAATTAAGTATCTATCTATCTATCTATCTATCTATCTATCTATCTATCTATCTAGTCTTAACTGCAGCGGCCATGTGTTATCCGACCCATTGCCCTTTGCTGCATGTCATGCCCTCTCTCTCTGCCCAATCTTCCTGTCTCTCTCTCACTGTCTCTATCACATTAAAGGCAAAAATGCCCAAAGACATAACTTAACATCACAGCTAGAGTGGGGAGACGCTCTTAAACTGGTCTGAAAATTTTCTGTTTAACTTGTCCTCACGGCCACAAATTTCACTCTTCATTTATCATTTTTTCCCACAATGTAGTTTCTTTCAGACAATGTGACTACCAAAGCACAAGACTCACATAATTTGAACTAGGAGCCTCTGAGTGATGGGATTACCATCCAACTGTCCCATAGACTGCAATACAAATTCAGAAGTGGATTTTCAGAGAAAAACTGAAAAACCCTTTTCCTTAACTTGCTCCTGTTTCCACATTTTTGACTGTGGGGATACCAAAACCACACAGACATATTCAGGAAGGTTTAGTGGCACTAACTGTAAAAATTCTTCTGATATGAAGTACCATTTTTTATTAAATGGCAGGAGTACGAGATGTCCACCGAGCAAAAATCTCAATCAGGTCAATCAGTTACACGCAGCTGAAGGATATCAACAGCTATTTAAAATCAGCTGATTCGAGACTCATCTGAATTCTGTGATGTTCATCAAACATTTGACCGACATTTCTGTCAAAGTCCTCCTACAGACTGTTCCCACACTAAATACAAGACATGGATTTAAACACATTTCAACAGTTTCAACAGGATCCAGCAATCCTACCACAATTTCTCCAGAAATTTCACTGTCTAGTTGAATATGTTTTTTCATCATCATTGTTATTGTTGTTATATACAGAGTGAGCACAGCGATGTTACTCTGCTGTTGTCTCTGTTTGCTTGTGGCTGCCTCAGGTGTTCATAGAGAAAGGTAAGGGGGAGATTCTAGGCGTGGTCATTGTGGAGAGTGGGTGGGGCTCCATCCTGCCCACTGTTATCATCGCCAACATGATGCACGCCGGGCCGGCTGAGAGGTCCGGCAGACTGAACATAGGAGACCAGATCATGTCAATCAATGGGACCAGTCTGGTGGGACTGCCGCTGTCCACCTGCCAGAGCATCATCAAGGTAAGTACATGATGTTATCGTAATAACAGGTGATGTAACTGAAAATACTGATGGGTTTGGGTTAGGTAATGTAAATGAAGACACTGATGATGGAAGCGCACAGGTAGCACAGACCCAGGGTTCAAAGCTGGTACCTGAACCTCCAGCTTCAGGTGTGTTTCTACAAATCACAACTAAACTTTATTTTAAAACTTTATTGACTAAAGTTACAAACAACATAAAAAAAATATATTTTTGGCATTATTGAATGAACAGAGCAGAGATCCAGACAGGAAATGACTGAGAGAATAGAGCTGCTGCAGCCACCTGTGTATGACCGCTGAACACCCTCAGCATTAAATCAGGATCAATAATCAATACAGAAATGAACAGAGGCTGTGTCAAAGTAATCTCCTTTCTAACCACTTCTCATCGATGGGAAACGTCATGAGGTCAAAAGGTGTGAAGGAGAGTTCATTAGGACTTAGGAAAATAATCCATCTGCTCTTACACTAGGATTGTTTTTTAAACCAACTTTATTTATAACACATGTTCCTTTCATAACCACAAAAAAACAATCAGGGTTGAAATTTTGAAATAAGATATCATGAAAGAAATATGCAAGTACAGAAGGTTGAGCCATTAAAATAATAATTGAATAAAAATAAAGAACTAAGTCAGAGTAATTCACAATGCTTGTTCTTCATGGTGACTCCTAACTGGATCTATAATAAATTTATATTAACGGATTTGGAGCTCAGACATCAGACAAGGATTTCCAGAGGTTTTGGATTGTGTCAGGTGCTCTGTTATTTCTACATTTACCTGGGTCTGCTATGGTGGCACTACAATGACTGCAGCTGCAGCAAGGAATTGTGGGACAGCATTTTCCTATGCTAAGGAGATAAGATAGGAAGCACTGAAGCTCCTTTCCTCAGCTCTTATCATGGCTGCTGTTCAGATGTTTCAGGTCATTTCACTTTTCGACTCCAGCTTGACTGTCATTATCTGCCCTCTGTCCCTGCCACCCATATCTCCTACCTCTTCCTCACCTTCTCCGTGTTCTCCTTTTCAAACCTTTCATTCTCCTTCTGACCACAAGATGTCCCCATATTTTTTTCCTTACTCCACCTGCTCCACCTGTTTCTTGTCTCCCATCATCTGGGCTTATTCCCCACTCGGGCTCCTTGATGAGGCGACAGAACCATCCATCGAAAATGACAATAAACAGACACGTCCGTTTTCCAGCTGTGAGGAAAACCAGTTCAGGGTGAAGATCCTGACCCCATATCTCACCATGTGCTTTCCTTTATGTAGGGTCTGAAGAACCAGTCCCGGATCAAGCTGAACATTGTCAGATGTCCCCCGGTCACCACAGTTCTCATCAGACGGCCAGACCTCCGCTACCAGCTGGGCTTCAGTGTCCAGAATGGCATTGTGGGTGACACCATGGTTCTGTTTCTATGTTTTATGATAGTTGAAGTGTTTGATTTGTCATTAAAGAACTGATCTGTCTCTCAACAGATCTGTAGCCTTATGCGTGGGGGCATCGCAGAGCGTGGGGGGGTCAGAGTGGGTCACCGCATCATTGAGATCAACAGCCAGAGCGTGGTGGCCACACCCCATGAGAAAATAGTTCACATCCTGTCCAACGCTGTGGGAGAGGTGAGTGAACACAGACGTCACGGGCCGGTGTGAGTCACTGACTACTGGAGGGAACACATGAGTGTCTGCTCTCTGTGACCTCATGGTCACTGGAGCTGTTCGCTGTGACTGACACAGCTCAGCTGCTGAGCAGAGGAAACATCAGACCTCTCCTGATTGGCTCTGCAGCGAGGACGTCGCTCTGAGCTGTTTTCTGGTTATAAACAGCAACAGCAGCTACATGACACCTGAAGGAGCATACCTCTGCACCCAGTGAGAGCAGCTCAACACTGCAGCCTTAAAAATGGATCTCCTAGTGTAGCAACCCAGGCCAGTACTGAGACTGATGTCTACAAACCTGCAGGGCTAATCATCAGACATTGCATTGCATTTGATTAAAAACCAGTCTCCAGTTTTTCTTTTTAATAAATTACAGTTGCTTTCTCTTAAAGGTCCATACAGTATAAAGGTAGATGTCCATGTGTTGTTTGATTATAAAGCAGGTCTATGTTCTATATTAATACTGTGAAAGTATCAAAGCGCTCAGTCCACAGAGAAATGCACACAGCCTGTATTTAGAAACTGAGCCGTAAAACCAGCCGTCAGGACTTTCTTTAACTTTGTTTTCTATTTTCATTGACTCTGAGCCTCTCTTCTGATTGGCTCTCAGCCTCTGAGCCTCTCTTCTGATTAGCTCACTGACCTGCTGCTAACCTCCAGAGAGACTACGATGAATCTATGTATTTGTCAGGTGTTTAGAAACATCTTCAGTAGGAGCCAGTGGGCTCAGTAATGACAGACTAACTAACTGTTGACTATAATCAAAATATGAAATATCTCCATCTTTATCCTTTAATGGATAATGACCAGATTACAGTGACATTGATCAGTTTTATAATTTCTGTCAGAGTATCAGACCTGTGCTGTTGGTAACATTAACTGAACCTTTGACACTTGATCTTCAAATGATTTAGAATATGAATGATGTGAATAACAATGAAACGGTTTGTTGTGTTTGTCACTGTCTCAGATTCACATGAAGACAATGCCTGCAGCCATGTACCGCCTGTTGACGGCCCAGGAGCAGCCTGTTTACATCTAACAAGACCGAGCCCTGACCTCACTCCCTTTAAACTTCCTGCTGTCACTCCCCATCAGACCCCATCAGTCCTCCAACCCTCTGCCCACAGCTGATGGACCACAGTGAGTTTTTGGTGGGATCGTACTGTTGCTCAGCCTCGTCTTCAAGTGACAACTTCAAAATATTCACTCAGAGCTTCTGACTTTGGCTGGAGTTATAGTTAGTGAAAGGAAGTCTACTCCTGGTGAATCTTCAGTCTACACCTGGTGAATCTTCCGTCTGCACCTGGTGAATCTTCTGTCTACACCTGGTGAATCTTCAGTCTACACCTGGTCAATCTTCAGTCTACACCTGGTCAATCTTCAGTCTACACCTGGTCAATCTTCAGTTTACACCTGGTCAATCTTCAGTCTACACTTGGACAATCTTCAGTCTACACCTGGTCAATCTTCAGTCTACACCTGCTGAATCTAAAGTCTACATCTGGTGAATCTTCAGTCTACACCTAATGAATCTTCAGTCTACACCTGGTCAATCTTCAGTCTACACCTGGTGAATCTTCAGTCTACACCTGGTGAATCTTCAGTCTACACCTGGTGAATCTTCAGTCTACACCTGGTGAATCTTCAGTCTACACCTGGTGAATCTTCAGTCTACACCTGGTGAATCTTCAGTCTACACCTTCTCAATCTTCAGTCTTCACCTGATGAATCTTCAGTCTACACCTGGTCAATCTTCAGTCTACACCTGGTCAATCTTCAGTCTTCACCTGGTGAATCTTCAGTCTACACCTGGTCAGTCTTCAGTCTACACCTGGTGAATCTTCAGTCTACACCTGGTGAATCTTCAGTCTACACCTGCTGAATCTTAAGTCTACACCTGGTGAATCTTCAGTCTACACCTAATGAATCTTCAGTCTACACCTAATGAATCTTCAGTCTTCACCTGGTGAATCTTCAGTCTACACCTAATGAATCTTCAGTCTACACCTAATGAATCTTCAGTCTACACCTAATGAATCTTCAGTCTACACCTGATGAATCTTCAGTCTACACCTGATGAATCTTCAGTCTACACTTAATGAATCTTCAGTCTACACTTAATGAATCTTCAGTCTACACCTAATGAATCTTCAGTCTACACCTACTGAATCTTCAGTCTACACCTGCTGAATCTTCAGTCTACACTTAATGAATCTTCAGTCTACACCTGCTGAATCTTCAGTCTACACCTAATGAATCTTCAGTCTACACCCGATGAATCTTCAGTCTACACCTGATGAATCTTCAGTCTACACCCGATGAATCTTCAGTCTACACCTGATGAATCTTCAGTCTACACCTGATGAATCTTCAGTCTACACCCGATGAATCTTCAGTCTACACCTGATGAATCTTCAGTCTACACCTGATGAATCTTTAGTCTACACCTGGTCAATCTTTGGCTCCCAGAATCCTCGTAGTTCTTCCCGGTTAATGTTTGGACACTCAACACATAAGGTTCTTTTCAGTCTATGATGGTGTGGTGTGATGAGCACTAGGTTATTGTTTAATTAGAAGAAGTAGAAACCTTATTTGATGAGCTGAACCTGACAGTGACCATGAAGACAACCTGACCATCTCTCCCTGACTTCTCCTGACATGCTGCTGTTTCACCTGCATCACCTCTCTCCACACCAGGGAATGTGTGAATGAGTGTCTTTTTTTTTGTTGTGTTTCAGATTTGTTCTCTCTGCAGCCCCAGTCAACATGCAATAGCCTTCAAACCATCAAACTGATCCCCCTCCACACCACAGACCCTCGTCCAACCAGTGTGCCCACACATTGAGTCAGTGGACCCTGTTAACACATTGTTGTCTAAATCGGCCAGACTGATAAATACTTCAGTCTACCAGGTGACTGTGGACTTGGAGGCAGGTGACTGGAGATATCACCTCTCTCAACACAGATACATCTCTGGGTTCTTCTTCTGTTGTTTTTACCAGATACTGTCAGTGACTCTCCTGTTTCACAATGAAAGTCTATAGAAGAGAGGATTATTCCCTCTGAGCCACTGGGGGGCTCTTAATGTGAAAATTGAGTCAATGACAGAAACAACAGCAGAGAAGAACTGGAGACATGGCTGTTGTTGTACTGATGAATTAGACATGACACTGAATTCATCAACACAACAGGAAGAGGTCAGCTTTTTTCTGAGTACTTGAATTAGGAGCAAACAGTAAGTGAAACAGTCTATCTGAGAATTTAAATTAAACAACATTTAAGATCAGCTGATTCGGGATCAAACCATTAAAGTCGTGAGAAACAAAATTCATTTCATAGTAATAGAATAAATGTTGCTGCAGGAGACTTTCACCATAAAGTTTAATAAGACATTTTAATATTGTTTTAAATGTAATAAATGATGATTCACTGTTTCATCATCAGTGAGAGGAGAGAGATTAATTACACCATCAGGATTATTACACTGATGTGAAGGAGGTCACTGGCATACAACAGCTCACTGTAGTTTTTCATCAACACATACAGCTGTATCTTCTCTGTTCCTGCTGAAGTGTATTAGTGCAGCAGATGAGCTTGTAAATGGATGGTATTGTTCATTTTACATTCACTTAAGCATGAAACTTTCTCCAGTGTTTCTATAAACCATGAAGTTTATTTTCAGACGCGGAGGCATTTTAGATTTGACCTCTGGGACAGGGCAGAGGGTGACCCCAACTTCAGGCTGTCAAATAAAAAAAAAATTCACTTTTTTCACAAACATAAGGCAGTATACATCAATCTGCCAGCTGTCATGGCCGAGAACGTGCTGCTTGTTTTGTGCAAACTGAGACCGGAGCTGAATTCCTTTCGGACTGTGGGGTGTTTCCAAGAGAGGACCATCATGTCATGAATGTGTACTGAGAGCCACCTGGTGTAATGAGTGTGGTCCAGAGAAAACTAGCATGCTAGCTTCTGATTACAGTGGTTGCTAATGTATAGCTCGCCACATTATGTCTTTTGGTTCTTTTATTTTCTTTGAAGTTTTAAGTTTTTCAATTACTGGTCTACTCCCTCTGCCTCGTGTACTTTTATACAGACCTCCTACGCTTAATGGTTTTATTGATGAATTCTCTGAGCTCCTCTCTCCTGTTATACCCAAATATGATAGACTTGAAAAATGGAATGCTGAGGTCAATGAACTCTCAAGGTCACCAGAGGTCAGATATAAATTGTCTCCATGGGGTATGTAGATTATATGCTGAAACGTTAATGCTTTAGTCAAAAAATGCGCAATTGTCTTGCCAGCCTGCCGCACTGTATGATCCGTGGTGTGGTCACACTGAAGCAGACTCGGTCAGTAGAGGACAGAGCTTCAGTACATGTTGGCTGTGCTGTTCTCCCCGTAGTACAAACTGTTTCGTCATGTTTACACTTTTGATCAGACTTTTCTTATTTTGATGTTTCAGGTTCATTTGTACAGTAGCTTGTTTTGACAGTTGAATGGTGCTGAATCTGTATTTAAGTTTGACCCTTCTCTGTTACTGTAGCTTCACTACACACCCTGCTTGTTATAAACCTGCTACCTGCAGGAAATGAAACGTATTTTACATCTTCAGCTTCCAAAGACGTGACACTGGGTTGGACTCTTCATCACCAGGTCATCATCAGGTCTCAGGTCTCTGCAGGCTGGTTCTCAGACTGTCAGGAACATCAGAGGCTGGAGAAGTGAAGGTTCTCCTGGAGAACACTGACTTCTGAAGAGTGCAGTGGACGTTCTTGATGATCTACAGGTTCTCTGTGCGCTGAGATCACATGAGTCAAACTAACAGAAGCAATGAGGAGGTTTTCCCGTCTTCATGGCTAAAACATGGTGAAGCTGTTAAAGTGAATGTTTAAAGCAGCTTTTCAACTAGTTTAACCAGATCCAGTTCTCTCCATCAGTTTAGGAGTTTCAGTCTGTGGTCCAGGTCTACCTGCTAGCCCGTGATGTCTGTTGCCTTGCATGCCACTTGATTAAAAGCTTGATTGTCATTGGCTAAGAAAGCAGTGGTCATGTGACTCAGGATTATATCAGTTCTAACCACAGTCCAGAACACTGAATTGAAGATGATGTGTCAATTTTAAATGAGATTCAAATTGTTTCTCTCTCAACATTGAAATCAGTGGATCACATGTTAAAGAAAACGTCTCTGTGCTCCTCCTGATTGGTTGAGCTGAATAATGACATCACTCTAATGAAAATATCTTTTAAACAGACTGACTCTCCTCTGCTGTGAACTGCAGCTGGACTTAAATGTAGCACATCAATAGATGTTTCAATGTCTTCTGAACCGTCATCTGCAGCTTGACTTGGCGTCACTATGGCGACAGATTATTTCACAGTTAACACAGACACAGTCGGTCGGTACAGATAGTGGGTCCATGTCCTCCCAGTAAAACTAAACCAGTCTGAACAGGTTACATTTACACATGACTTATGGTGAGCACATCTGGAACTGTGCACATCTGGAACAGTCAACAGGCTGTGGTTAAAGTTAAAATGGATGATAAACACACTGGAGGAACTTTGGACTGAATTTGATTCTGGACTTTTGACTTTTGTGAATCTGTGGAGCCTAAAGCATTTACCCCATCACCCCTCATGACCCCCCCCCCGTTTCTCTGGGAATGTACCTGCCTTCATCACATCAGCTGTGACCACCTCTACTTTTCCTTTGGGATGTTATGAACTTCTCTCTTCAGGTTGCTCTGTGTTTAAGGTAAAATAGCGACAGGTTGAAAGCCCCCCACCTCGCTCCACCCCCCACCTCTGCTCACAACCCACAGCTGACTCCAAATGTCTGTCGTCATCATGATGCTCATCTTGGCCTTATTACCACTACTGGACTCAGAGGCAGCAGCAGCAGCAGACTGGACTTTGACACGTCATGCTGTCCTGTTCTTTCCTCTGGTGTGTGTGCGTGTGTGTGTGTGTGTGTGTGTGTGTGTGAGAGATTACAAGCAATGTACTCCATGTTGAATCAAAAACCAGCTGGATATATAAAATACACATATAGATGAACTATATAGAAAACTATGTAAAGGTATATACTTCTAATGGTTGTGCGTTGGGTACTTCAGTCAGTAGAGAGCAATGCAACATGGGAGATTTCAGGTGAGTGGACACAGCTAGAGCACAAGATACCTGAAGATGTGTGATGTTACTTCAGGTGTAGGTAACCATGGAAACGAGCACTTGAGACTGGAGGCAGCAGCACGGTCGATAAGTATTTACAAGTGCACTCATTCTGAATGTAAGTGAAATGTAACTCAGTGTCTCAACATAGAAACATTTCTGTAGAGCAGCAGCAGCGATGTTGTATTTATTTGCTTTTCTGTGATGCTAAGCTAACAGAGCTTCTTCCTGTAGCACAGAATGTTTGTAACAGTATTTACAACAATAAAAGACTTCAGCAAGGACCGGTGTCAGCAATTTCACTGAGCTGTGTGCGCACGCTCACAGTGCAAACTAACATACTCAAAAAATAAGTAAATCTAGGCTACTTCATTACTGCTATAGTGGATACAGATATTATAACCATTGTGATTTTGATGGTAATTCTGACTGTGGTGATGGCTGTAGACATCAGTAACAGTCACAGACATAAACACAGCTACAACCATCATCACACAGACGCACGCACACACACAGACGTACAGACAGGCACATACTGCTGAGCGCTAAGATCAGATCAAACTGTGTTAAAGATAATTAAACCAATTTTATTGAACATGCAGCAAATGACCATCTGAGTCCCACAGACATGAGAGGTCATTATAAACACAAGTCTCTGTCATCACTGTACACGATGTGGATGTGACGTTAGTCCGACTCTTTAACACAACAATCAGTTCATTGTTCTTGAGGCTCTGCTGTTCACTCAGAGGTTAAATAGATCTGTGTAGAGCTTTCACCTCAACACAGCTGACAGTGGTGACACAGGGAACTACATGGCTGTTTCACGTCCTCCTCTTTATAATACCTCTGCTATAACACCAGCTGCTTCACAACAGAGGCACAGTTTACTCACTGATTTAACTGTGATCATTTCTTTTTGTTCAGTTATCAACCAAGCTTCATTGACAACAGACAAACCTCCTTCCTCAGTGGGAACACTTTTATTGAAGTAGTATTTGTAGTTTTCACATCATTTCCAATCAGTTTCCTGCAAAGAATTTAGACTGTGTTCAAATGGCATATTTTCATTCTAATTAACTGACAAAGGATCAGTGTTCAGCAGGTGAGTGAAACATGAAGTTTCAATGATCAATAAATCATGAACATCCGGATGATTTCATTTCTTTCTAAGAAACTTGTTGGAAATAATTAAGAAATGATGGACTCATAAAATAAAGTTTAACTCACTTTAATCGTTAAGTCAATTTGTCTAAGCATTAAATAACAGAGAGATACCTGCAGCAGGTGGATGATGCGTTCAGTGTCTCAGGACAAGTTTTCTATTTCACTAATAAACAGAGACACACACACACACACACACACACACACACACACACACACACACACACACACACACACCTCCTCAGTGGTGGGATTTGCAGTCCATGGGTTAGATCAGTTTATATAGTGACAGGTGGGGCAGCATCCAGCTGGTTCTCCCTCAGAGCACTGTCTCTCTGAAGACTCCGATCAGACTGTGAGGGCGATCAGGACGATCCAGGCGGGACCCCGTCCTCGACCCCGTCCTCGACCCCGCTCTTGAACCCACCCTAGAGCCCGCCCCTGACACCACTTCTCTATTATTTCCTTGACGCTCCGGAGACTCTGCACAGGTGAATGAGCTGAGGTCCCCACAGCTCCGCAGGTGCAGCACACCGCACCTCCTCCTGGGGGGGCGGGGGAAAGTCTGGGAGGAACTGGCAGCTGGCTGCTGCTGCTGCTGCTGCTGCTGCTGCTGCTGGGGTGGTTGACTGGGACCCATCTCTGAGTCAGTGAACACCTGACAGGAAACAGAAAACTATTGTTCAGGACAACTCAAAATACAGCGATGTGGGGGCCAAGCAGCTCAACAGGCCAGAGTTACCATGGAAACATGGCTGGCTGAATCAATTAGGCTGACATGACATTTTGATTTTAAAGCATCAACAGTTACAAGGCAAAATGCAGATTTTCTTACTGTAGTGCCCCCTAGAGGTCAAAGGACACCAGAGTTCTGGAGCTGCCTCCATGTGGGATCCTGAGTCCATGTACAAAGTTTAGTTGTCTTACATAAAAGCGCTGCTGACCTCACTTCCTGTTTGGCAGCTTCGCCGCCACTTTCAATCGGCTGAAAGAAAGGTCCATGTGATAACTGTTGTGAGGCTTGGTCTGAAGAACATCTCTCCCAATCTTAGTGAAGATTGGACAAAGTTTGTCCGAAAGGTCGCAAAAGAATACTTTAACATAAAATCCAATATGGCAAAAATTGATGTGCCTTGAACTCAGATATAGTTCAAAAACAGTGAAAGCATCTCTAATTTTGACCTGTTGGTGGCACTAGAGCGCTTGAGGCACAGACATGACACTTGGTGACAAGCATCATGGGAGTGTCTCCAGTCAGTGTGCCACACTAATGTAAACCTAGAACAGTCTGATCCATGATCCATGATAGTGTACAGCTGTCTGTTTCAGACAGCTGTTGTCAGTGTGTGATCTCCTACCTGTTCTATGTAACTGGCACAGCGCACAGCCTCCTCCATGTGCTCCTCATCTGACTGCAGGACGTTTCGAATGCTGTCCACCAGCTCCTGGACCTCGGGGGCCAGTCCCTGGGCGGCCGGCTGCTCAAGAATCCTCCTGACCAGGTGCTGCGTGTGTCGGTAGCTCTGGTAGTCCACCATGGAGGACGGACGGGGCCGGCGGGGGGTCCTGCTGTCGTTGTTGCCCCGTCGCAGCGTGACCTGGCCCTGGGCGTGGGCAGCCAGTGTGGGCTGGGAGGTCTGGGTGGAGGAGTCTGTCGTCTGGGGAGATGGAGCGAGGGGAGTGTCGCTGCTGCTCCACCCTACATCAGAGGAGAGTGTGTGTGTGTGTGTGTGTGGGGGGGGGGTCTGTTAGTCCTAGTGGAACCACCAAACTGGACCACCAGTTTGAACACAGATGAAACAAAGACAGCTGACCTTTAGCAGCGAGGTCCATCAACACTGGGTCACTGCTGGAGTGACGGATCCCTGCTCTTCTCCAGGGGGTGGGTCCTGGAGCATGTGGCTGCTGAAGAGGAAGAGAAGGAGGAAGAGGCTGGAGCTGGGACTTGGCCTGGTCAACCACGCCTGGTGACACTGACACGGTTTGGAGACTCAGGTCTGATGAGACACAGACAGATAGAGACATGTCAGAGTCTCCACTTTAATCACATACAGACAGTGAGGGGTCAGAGATGAAGCTTCATTTTAAGTATTAGAACTAAAGTGTTGGAGAATCATCAAGCAATGTGACAGGAGCACTGACTGACTGACTGACTGACTGACTGACTGACTGACTGACTGTCTGTCTGTCTGTCTGCCAATCAGAGGGCAGAGAGAGTCTCTGAGATTCATGTTCCCTGATCAGTCAGTTATCTGAAGGAACTGGTGTGTGTGTGTGTGTGTGTGTGTGTGTGTGTGTGTGTGTGTGTGTGTCCTACCTGCACCACAGGTTGGAGGAGGTGGAGTGGTGGTGGTGTTCACAGGCAGTTCAGTCAGAGGAATCTCTGTTTCCTGAAACAAATACACGCACACCATCACTGTGTTGATTCATATTAAATACCCCGAAACATTAATACTCCAGCACACTGAACACTCTGTGTGTGTGTGTGTGTGTGTGTGTGTGTGTGTGTGTGTGTGTGTGTGTGTGTGTGTTTTTAGACCATTTCAAAATCTTGGTGATGAGTTCATGCACACTCCGGTGTTTTATTTTCTGCCTGATGCTGCTGTAAAAATGTCACATTAAAAACCTTCTTCGTTCAGGCAGATTAGAGACCTGTTTGAATGGAGGAAAGACTTTGCTTATTGTTGTGTGCTAGCCCATTGTTTCCTTCAGGAACATACAAAACAACTGTTCTGTAATCAGCCTTCATACCTGACACAAACATGAACTCTACATTAATTCATTACAAACCTCAACTGAAACTGTTCACACCAACACATTGATCAGTTTCCAATCATCTGTTACCACGGACAGATGGTCAATATTTGTGTTTAATCAGAGACTTTGAGGCAGAACAATCTACAAACTGCTCTGAAAATCTCAGATGTTGATTATTGTGTAAAACATTTAAAGGACACAGACATTATGAACCTGATGTTGACAGTTCCTCCTCTGACCTGTGGTGGAGCTGTTGGCCAACATCAGCTTGTTGCACGCATGTCAGTGAACATGTATGAGACAGAGTCCTTAAATAGTTGACCTTTGACCTGTAAGCATCCTGCTCAGTCTGAATCACAGTGTTACAGGTGTGATCTGAGGTTACCTGTGTGTCTGTGTTAGTGGAGCTTCCAGCAACAGCCTCATATGGAGGAGGAGGATCCAGAGGACAGAAGACCTCCACCCCTTTGATCCGGGCCCCGTAGATATGAGGGAGAGGGATCACGCTGTCCCCGAGTGTCCTGACACACACACGTCAAACAACACACTCATCAGTCAGTTATCATAGACTGAGACAGACGCACAGCAACACAAACGCAGTGTTTGTGTATGTGTGTCTGTGTGTGTGTCTGTGTGTGTGTATTACCGGCATGTCAGACGTGGTGTACATGAGTAGAAAGTGGAGAAGTAGGAGGGGGGAGGGGCTGGAGCCACAAACTCATCTGGATCTGGGACCTGAGGAGGCTCCTCCCTTTCCTCCACCGTGGCCCTGGGCTCGTCCTATCACAGATCGAGGACACGTGACATCACACATCATCCTAAAACACATCAGATCCTCAGGCCTGGTGAATGGATACGCTCACGAGGACTGATCCAGAACCAAAAGATACTGGGATCTACTACAATCTGACTGTGTTGCTTAAACCAACATGGACAAGAAGTTTTTATGCTAAGATATTCATTTTCTACTCTCCTACTGTTCACAGTCCTCTCACTGGCCTCTTGTACTGAGAGACTTCAGTCTATGAGCCCCGTTACCCAGAAACCTCCTGGCGTCACGCGATGTTCGTACCATGCAGGGAGCTCTGGTGGAGAAGATCTGCAGGTACCTCAGAGCAGCTGCCATCAGACACACAGCTGTGGTCAGCGCGTTCAGAGCGCAGAGAGCAAACAAAACTTTCTGGAGAGAGGAAGACACAGATCAGTTAGGACAGAGCAAAACAGACCAACAGTGATCACTTTATTAGGAACAGCACACTAACACTGGGTAGTTCCTCAGTCCTTCATGTCATGGATCCACGAGATGATGGAAATATTCTGTTGAGATTCTGCTCCATGTTGACATGACTGCATCACATCAGTTCTACCACATCGCAATAGTGTTCTGCCGGTTTCAGGTCTGGAGACCTGGTTTCACCAACACTGTCATGTTGGTGAAACCAGTTTGTGACCACTTTAGCTTTGTGACATGGAGCATTATCCTGCTAGTAGCCATTAGAAGATGATGAACATGGTCAGTAACAATACTCAGACTGTGACATTCAGACCATGACTGACTGGTATTAAGAAGAAAACATTCCCCACACCATCACACCACCACCACCAGTCTGGACTGTTGACACAAGGCAGGTTGGCTCCATGGATTCAGACTCTGTCCCGACCGTCTGCTGCCTCAGCACAAATCCAAATCCATCAGACCAGGTCTTCACCTGTCCAGTGTTGGTGAGACTGTGTCCACTGCAGCCTCAGGTTTCTCTTCTCTGTGACAGGAAGTGGAAGCCGACTTCTTCTACTGTTGTAGTGCGACCAAATTATTTGAAACACTGTGCTAACACCAGGCTGCCATACAACAACCACACACACACACTCACACGCACACACTGAAACCTCCAATTCAACAGCTCACACACTGAGGTGCAAAGACTGGGGACATGACCTGTGTGTTATTTATTAACTGTGTACATGTGTAACTATGTTCAGGGAGTATTGAGAGCTTCACCTTCAGCAGGATCCTCATGGTGCCGCAGGAGTGGGCTGGGTGGAGCTCCAGCAGCTTCTCCTCGGGACAGGTGGAGGAGGGGGAGAGGGAGCAGCAGTAACACACATCTCCATCCTCACTCTGAAACAACAGAGTGACAAAACTTACATGTGTACGACACAGACTGCTTCAGTCACTGTGGTGAGGATACATCAGGATGTTCATGGTCCCCAGAGGATGACTCCTCATCATTCTGACTGTGAAGCCTTAGATATCAATCATCACTTCACAGAGTCATAGTTATATACTGTATTTGGCCCTAATTATCTGATCACACAGTTGCTGTGGATGACCTCACCAGGACATGTCCTTTACCTCACACATGAAACAGCCTTCTTCTACCTGAGCATTATTGTGAAAATCTATTGTGAACATCCTGTCTTTAAAGGATGCAGATACCTCTAGACTGGACTTCTGTAATTCTTTATTATCAATATGTCCCAATAACTCTGTGAGAAACCTCCAGCTGATTCAAAACGCTGCAGCAGAGGACTGACTAGGAGAAGAGATCACATCTCTCCTGAGTTACTGGCTCCCTATAAAATCCAGAGTGGAATCCTCTCCTGTGGAACCAGCTCCCAGTCTGTCAGATACTTTACACTGATATCAGTTACATTCTTCTTTCACTCACCCTGTGGGAACAATGATGCATCCCGCAACCGCTCATCCTAACCCTAACCATCACAACCCTCACTCTCAACCATACTCAACCATAAAACCAAGTCGTAACCCCCCAGACATCAGTGGTTCCCACGGTGACATAAGACCACGTGTTTGTGTGCAGTCCCCACTGGGATATAAAAACAAGCACGTGCACGCATGCACACACACACGCAGACACACACACACACACAAGAGAGAGAGAGAAGAGAGAGAAGAGAAGAGCATGTATTTATAGAGTGACTAGGTAACCTCATCTCTTGTTGTTGGTGAAACCTCTTCACAGGGACAGAAGAGAGGTCAAAGGTCACACAGGAAATCATTTTCCCTAGTAAAAAGCTGAAGTTCTGTGCAGCTGTTTACACACACTATGACACAACACACACCCACACACACACACGACACACACACACACAACACACACAACGGATAGTGTTGCGTTGAAAAGATCAATAAATAATAATAATGGGAAATTACGTCCTCACATAAATAAAACTACAAAAGTTATGAAAGTAATTCAAAAAGTGAAATGCTTCCTTTTTATTTCCTTCCAACCTGCCGTATTCAATGGATAACTACAGCAGTGACTTTAACGAAGAAGAGAAGGAGGAGGAAGATCCTCTGAACTGAACTAATTGAACATATCACATGTGCAGCATAGAGGAAATAAATCACTACGGTTCTTCAGAATATTTAACTGACACATGACAGACTCCTGGCTGCGTTCAAAAAGTCTTTTTTTGTTTACGAAGGTTCCTAACTCGAGTGAAATGACCTGGAAGTATCTAAGCAGCAGCTGGTCCAACTCTCTACTGATAAGGAAAGGAGCTTCAATGCTTCCTATCTTATCTCCTTTAGCAGAGAAACACTGGACCTTCCTTTACGAAAAGGAAAGGAGAAAATGCGCCGTCCCACAATTCCTTGCTGCACCACCAACATTTAAAACGATGCACTTTGATTGTAGTTTCACCACGGCAGACCCACATGAATGTAGAAACAACACAGCATCCTATTTATTTCTAACCACTTTTTCCATCGAGGTCAAGGAAAAGTGCTTAGGAAAGGAGATTATTTTGACTTTTTGACCACAGACTGTGTGTTTTCCTGTCTCACACTTCTCAAACTTCCTCAGATCCTGCACAGAGAATCTAGATCTGATTTACAGAGAGGAAGTTAATATGAAACCTAAAAGAGAAACAGACTAAAAGCTTAGGTTTTATGACATGATTAACTGAATAATACGTCCGTTACAGCTCTCTGTCATAGCTCGTACACTCTAACTCCTCATCGTCACTGAGGTGATTAGTGACAAGACTTAAACTAATGTCAGATGATGAATCAGTCATTTACTGTTTACTTGTTACTGCTGCTTCTGAACACTGAGGAGGAAAAACTGTAGAAGTAAATTAATAAGGCAAAAGTTTAGTTTCCACACATCTGTGCATGTGTGTAATAATGCTGCAATATCATAACTGAACAGTAGATGCTGAGTCAAGGACAGCTTGACTATCACACTTTGACTATAGAGCCACCTGTCACCTGAGCAAACATCCATAAAACACTGCTCCTCTCTCTGCTTGAAGCTCCAGTCTTTGTCAACGGGACACGGTCACAGAAATGACAGAACCTTTAGATACAACCGCTGTAGTCAAGCTAGCTTCAGAGACAATAACCTACTGCTGCCACTGGCGGGCAGTAAATAGCATGATAAGAGGAGACAAGCATCAGATCCTTAATGAGACAGAATGCTGTTCTGAGATCAGATGTAAGGAGAGATATTGCTTCAGTAACTGGTGTCTATTCTTAGCTTTAACTGGTCACACCACTGTTAGTCCTGATGACTCACCACTGAAGAACTGAAGTTAGATATTTTCTTTAACATCAACAGTCTGGTTGAAGCTGGGAGGTTGTAGCAGAGTTTACACTGAAGTCCTGATGAAAACTTTATTAATGATGTTGAAATGTTTTAACTGAAGTTTGGTGTGGAGATCTTGAGGCTAGTACAATCACTATATGGGCCAGATCCACAGAGATATGTCAGACTGGTCTGTAGTGTTGGTCCAGTCTTCACTCTGCTCACAGATCAGTCTGATGTTAGTCAGACTGTTTCACACAAATAAAGACTGAGACTCATTTTAAGACAAAAACATTAGACACCTCCAGACTAACTCAGTCCTAAGATCAATGTTACCATGGTAACAATCAATGACAACTGTGCTGAGCAGTAGCACTCAACAACAAGAAACAGGAAAACATGGCTCATAATTTGTGGTTTGCTAACATTGTTATGGAGAGAGAAATAAGAACGGAAAGAGTGTTTAGAGACCGCAGAGATTTTTTTTTTTTTTATATAGTTTCACTAAGTTCTGAATTTCCAAAGTAAGATATCCTTGTAACTGTTGAATCCTTCCAGTAGACAAACATTTTCTGCTGGAGTAAATGGAGCTCAGCGGTTGGATGTGGTTCCTCGGTTTTTTATATTGAAAAAAGTCTTAATTTGCCCAGAATTGATTGTACCACAGTCCACAGTCTTAAGAAACCAAACTGCTTTGTGCAACCGATGAACTTAGACGTCCATCTGAAGTCTGACTCTTTGTTATATCTTAGACACAGTCAAAGTCTGTCTTTGTGAAACTGGCCCCATGTCTATGACATTTCCTGAAACTCACCATGTTCCATATTCAACCTGCTCAGCACTAGATTCTTCAACAGACTGTAGCTTCAGATTCTAACACTGTGACCATGTGAGTCAAGGCTCATGGAGCTTCATCAACACAGGTGTGTGTGGGAGGAGCAGCTACAAATACCTTTTCATGTTAACGAGTTGAGTCCAAAGATTATTTCAGAATCTTAATTCTTATTTTGTTTTACACGCACGCACGCACACAGTAGTGATGTCCTCTGGCACTGACTCTTATGTGGGTTTTTACAGAATGATTGGTGTTATTATAACTGATCAAGGTCACTTGAAGACAGGCTGAAACACACACGCACAGGCACACGCACACGCACACACACACGCACACACGCACACACACACACACACACACACACACACACACACAATTTCTGTGTTGACGTTATATTACTGTGACTCCATGCTGACGTATTTCTCCTGATTAAAGGTTATTTTCTTCATAACTTCCTGTTTATTTGTTTATTTGTTTATTTGTCGTGTCCTGACAGTAAACTGCTTCGTGATGGACCACCTGACATTAGTGACCATGATGCTGTCAACCCTGTCCACAGGAGAGACAGAGGAGCAGAGAGACAGAGAGTGTGAATGAGGATCAGACACAGACAGGTGCAGCCTCACCAGTTGGCAGCTGGTCATACTGGAAACCAGCTGGGCTCCCTGGCAGCACAGGATGAATCCAGCCAGATTAAGGAGCACACACACCACAGACAGCAGGACAAACACATTGACCTGGAGATGGAGGGATGGGGGGGGGGGGTGGATGAAAGAAGGGAAGATGGATTACTGTAGCTTCAACACGTGTCTGACTGTGTATAAACAGGTTTAATAAACATGATGTCATCAAATGGACAGTGACAACAACAGTGGCAGAATAACCCCACTGTACCCCCCCCACTCCCCCAGCCCCGCCAAAATTTATCAGATTAATTAGAAATATTGTTAACCACATAAACAGAGGATGAACAACAACACAACCTGAAACACGTCATACATCAGTCATGGATGTATGTGCACACACACAAACACATGGATACATCAGGGATTGTCAATAATGCTGTTATATACAGTATGATACACATCTTATTATTGATTACTGATAGAAACATTTGGTCACATTCACAACATGATCGTGATCTCAGTGACTCTGACTGTGACACGACTGTTGGTTTGTGTGTTTCTCAAACTGCTGATCTCCTGGATTTTGAGTGAACAACATGTTGAACCTTGAGGTGGACGGACTACAACAGCAGAAGACCACGTCAGGTTCCACTTCCTGTCACCGAGAAGAGAAACCTGAGGCTGCAGTGGACACAGTCTCACCAACACTGGACAGGTGAAGACCTGGTCTGATGGATCTGGATTTGTGCTGAGGCAGCAGACGGTCGGGACAGAGTCTGAATCCATGGAGCCAACCTGCCTTGTGTCAACAGTCCAGACTGGTGGTGGTGGTGTGATGGTGTGGGGAATGTTTTCTTCTTAATACCAGTCAGTCATGGTCTGAATGTCACAGTCTGAGTATTGTTACTGACCATGTTCATCATCTTCTAATGGCTTCTAGCAGGATAATGCTCCATGTCACAAAGCTAAAGTGGTCACAAACTGGTTTCACCAACATGACAGTCCCCCCAGTCTCCAGACCTGAAACCGGCAGAACACTATTGGGATGTGATAGAACAGGAGATTGGCAGCATGAATATGCAGCTGACAAATGTTGGAAATGATGTGATGCAGTCATGTCAACATGGAGCAGAATCTCAGTGGAAAGTTTCACTTCAGGACTGTCAGTCAGAATCTGCAGATATTCATTTCCCATCAGCCCCAGAGCTCTACAGAGTACACATTACATCACTTTACACTGTGCTAAGTAAACAGACATCTTTCCTCTATGACCAATCACAGCTCCGATTTTGTCTTAGACATTCTGCACCATGGGTCAACCAAAACAGGCTGTGAGCTGTCGTTATATCCGAGGACCACACAGCTCACACCAGACTGTCAAGACCACAAGACCAGGTCCTCAATCTTCCAAGACCTTCCTCAGAGAACTGTCTTCCTAACTTTAATAAAAAAAAAAAATCTGAAATCTCTGCACACAAACCTCCTCCACTGAGAGACTGTGTCGGACAGAGGCTCAGTTTCTGAATACAGGCTGTGTGCATTTCTCTGTGGACTGAGTGCTTTGATACTTTCACAGTATCAATATAGAACCTACAACTGATCTATAATTAAAAAAAAAAACATGGAAATCTACCTTTATACTATATGGACCTCTAAAACACATCAATCAGTGAAGTGTGGCTATTGTGAGGGAAACACAACATGTTAGTCACTGTCATTATATCAGACAACAAATAGCATCAAAATGTGTTCACTAAACAGCAAATCAGTTTAGATCTGTCAGACAGTAACACAGTCTGGGCCCGTCACAGCGAGGATTTTCAATTTTTGACCCTAAAAGGTAATTTCCTGCTGTCCCTCAGCTAAACCATCACATGGACAGGAAACAGTGTCACAGCTTTATGGTGGATGGACACGAGGCGAACCGGGAACAAACAACCAAAATGTCCAAGGAGGAACTGGGGGAAGAGGGGGTTTCTTGCTGTTACCATGGTAACTACAGATATTAGAATACAGGTGGAGCAGGTGTAGAGTTTGCTGAGAGGATGAAGCTTTTCACTGAGAGAATCACACAGAAGCAGAGGACTGACTTTGCTGTCACTGTCTTTTTATCAGATGATGTTTCAGACAGATTTTTAATCAGCTTCTTCCTTTCTGAGTAAGTTTACCTCAGCACAGTATGTGTTACCACCTTTTCTCCATTCAGCCATGGGCACCACTGTTTAGTTCTGGCTGTTGAGTTGAGTGTTTGAGGGAAAACTCTGTGTCCACATCTGTCCTATCTTTTTATCACATCTGTCTGTCATATCTTTATTTATGTTATTTTAAATCTTTTCTGACTAGGTCTGATTAGTCCTTTCAACTGATGACATCTGCAGGTGGTTCCTCTGCCTCCACCTGAGGGACCTCCACCTCAGGGACTTCTACTCGAAGCACTACACCTGAAAGACCTCTACCTGAAGGATCTTGACCTGAAGGACCTCCAACCGAAGGATCACCAACCCAAAGACCTCCACCTGAAGGACCTCCAACCGAAGGACGTCCACCTGAAGGACCCCCAACTGAAGGACTTCCAACCAAAGGATCTCCACCTGAAGGACTTCAGGGACTTCTACCTGAAGGACTCCACCTGAAGGACCTCTTCCTGAGCAACCTCTACCTTCAAGACTCCACCTGAAGGATCTGGACCCGATGTACCTCTAACTGAAGGCTCTCCACTTCGACCTCCACCTGAAGGACCTCCAACCAAAGGATCACCAACCCAAGATCTCCACCTGAAGGACCTCCAACCGAAGGACTGCTACCTGAATGATCTTGATCAGAAGGACCTCCACCTGAGCGACCTCTGCCTTCAAGACTCCACCTGAAGGACTCCACCTGAAGGATCTCCCCCTGAGTGACCTCTACCTTCAAGATTCCACCTGAAGGACGTCTACCTGAAGGATCTCCACCTGAAGGATCTCCACCTTAGGGACCTCCACCTGAGCGACCTCTGCCTTCAAGACTCCACCTGAAGGACTCCACCTGAAGGATCTCCCCGAGTGACCTCTACCTTCAAGATTCCACCTGAAGGACATCTACCTGAAGGATCTCCACCTGAAGGATCCCACATTAGGGACCTCCACCTGAGCGACCTCTACCTTCAAGACTCCACCTGAAGGATCTCCACTTAAAGGACTTCCAACTGAAGGATCTCCACCTGAAGTACCTCTACCTGAAGGACATCCACCACAGTGCTGATCAGCAGGATGGAGTCCTGGTTTAAAATCTAACTTTGTTCCTTTGACTAATTGTTTTCAGTTTTAACAAACTCAACACTTTTATCGGGACACTTGATGGGAGGAACCAGAACCATGGCTTACCAGCAGCAGCATGGGTCTTCTCCATGTTGTGAGGCCGACAATGCCTGACAGGATGACCTGTAAACACAAGGAAAAGATTAAACACAACACAGAACTATACAAACAGACAGACAGGTCCGTGAACATTCAGTCTGTTTGTTTTTTCATTTTAAACCAAAAAACAAAAAACAATTTGGACAAATTGGAAGACCTGCTCTAATTCTGGTATTTGCAAATTCCTTTCTTTCATTTTTCCTTCTTGAATTGAAGAATGAAGAAAGGTAGTCAGGTTGCACGGAAGTAAAGGTAGATATTTCAAAATAAAAGCCAAGCGGATAAAGTTGGAAACCTTGACAATCAGCTGTTTTGTTTTGGCTGGAAAGAAGGAAAAAGGGAAATTGTTTCCTTGACTTCCATGTGATGCTGTAAAAGTCTTTGGTTTGTCCAGAACCTGAAGCAGAGCCAGAAACACTTCAGCTGGAACACTAGAGATATTACGTGTCCATCCACACTCGACCTCGACATGTGGAGCAGTTCACACTTTGCTCACCAGGATCAAGTGACTGTGGTTAATGATGACTGTGCTGACCTGTGTTTGGTAGGTGTCAGTCTGAGAGGTTAGAGGGTTGTGTGTTGAATAGTAAGTAATGAAACACTGATATTGATTAATTAAAAAGAACTGATTTACAATGATGTAAAAATTTTAAAATAAGAAGAATATACTGTATATTTTGCTTGTTATTGTCAATAACATGTTGGTGTGTTTAGGAAGAGCTGACAAAGGACTGTCATGAGACACAGTTTTATGCCTCTGCAATGGGTTGTCTGTCCATCCACTTGGACTCAAGGAAGAACAGATATGATTTTGGTGGTCAAAGGTCAAAAGTCAAGGTTAACATGACCTCGCAAAACACTTTTTTTTAGCCCTAACTCAAGACTACACACAGCAATTATGTTAAAATTTCACACAAATGGTTAATATTTTTTATATGACTCTGGATAAACAGGGATGTAACCTGAAACTAGTCTGAGTGGCGGAGGCAGACAACCATGAGGCGGTAATTCTAGTAGTAGAATTAAATCCCCTCTGTTTCCATAAACTGAGCTGCAGTGAAGGGAAATATCCTGCATCCAGACCAGACCAGCTGAAACCTACACAACTTCTACATTTACCCTGGTGCTGAGACTGTTAGTCAGCTGACCGGGTACCTGATAGAGAATTCATCATCTATTACTTTTGAGACAGACACATATACCAGATGGATAATTTGACAGCTCCTTTAGTTAATGTTGTTTGCCACTTAAGGGTTAGCGGAATCAAAGTTGAAGTCCAGTGTTCCCTCTCTTTTAGCTCTGTGTTTGGTCTCCACCAGCTCCTGAGGAAATATCTGGCTCTTTAGCTGCTAAACGTACCGGTGTTCACCAGCTGCTCTCTGTCTGCTGTTTGTATGATGAGCAGGTAGAGAGCAGAGGCTGAAACCAGGTTGTTCAGAGTCTGGAGGCTACAAGGCTAAAACAAAGAGCTAACATGCAGTAAGGTGTTCAGTGGAGCTGCAGAGCTGTTGACAGTTGACTGTGGCTTTGTCTCTACTAATGACATATTTCATATTATACAGCTATCTGATTGTTAATACAAACAATTAATCTGTTTTTATATATTTTCATTCCTCAGGAACTCATATGAGTCAAGCTCCAGTTTCTTCTTTCCTGAATTATTATCTTATTATTAACAAATAAAAGATGCTAGCTATGCTTACTGTTCTGATACGTCTGCTAGTCTCTGATTCTGGTCTTAATAACAGACTCATCATCTGAGTCTGGGTCTGACTGAGTCTCTCTGATGTTTCCTCCTCTAACCATCTTGATACTCTATGCTCTTTCACCTGTGGGGAAAAGGCCTGATCCAGATTTCTCAATCAGAAGGTAAGAATAGAGGAGCTTCAGACCCAGTTTTTATGAGTGAAAGGGGAGGGGAGGTGGACTACCCTGGACAGGTCCAGTCCATCAGTCTGTTCACTGTGATTAATGACAGGTCTCTTCCACATTGGTGTGAACAACCTGGACCACCAGGACTGTATCAGACCTGCATAGATCATCAAGACCAGAATTTGGTTTCTCAGGACCTGTATTGGTCACAATGAAGTTAACTACCACTGCAATGGACTGTGACAGTAACGTGTGTTGAAGCACTGACTGTCTCTCATCTCCAAAGAGGCATAGTGTTAAAGACATTACAGTGGATCTCCTCTCTGACGTCATTTCCGTTTAAATAGTAAATATTGAATTGAAAATGCCTCTGTGGTTAAATCCACTGTTTGTTTCCCACTCCGATCAGGACAGCCTGTCCTCTGAGCTCAGCGGTCTGAACAGTGAAAAACCACCATGGAGATGAGACCCCAAACTTACCGAGGAGCCCGCCCAGAAGGGACACGAGTTCCGGATGGCAGGTGAGCTGCTGAGGGACAGAGCTCCGAAGGACAGCGCCACCATGGAGCCGCCGAGCAGCAGCTGCAACAAGCCCAGCGAGAGCAGCGGCCGCCCGGGCAGCAGTAGCCGAGAGCCGCCGCCGGCGAACCGGGAGGAAGCAGACAAGCCACGGGGTCTGTTTCTGTACGACGGCTCTGCGAGCTGCGAAGCCCCGGTAACCGGACAGCAAGACCCCGGCAGCACCACCGGGAGCGACATCTGAGACGGATCGACGGGCAGGGCGGAAAACAGAGGCCGTTAAAGGGACTACAGCGGCGTATTGACGGGTGGATCCTCGCTGGGTTCACCGGAGCAGCTCGGTACCATCATGGTGTCCAGTCTAAAATAACACGCGGGCTGCTGGGATTGACTTTCACATAGTTTGGCAGCAGGCTGAGAAAAGTGAGGGCGGGGGAGGGGCGGGGGAGGGGCAGAGGGGCCATGTGTAACATGTAAACAGGGTGTGATTGGGGGGGTCTTCCTCAGTCTCTGGACTAACATGTAGTCCTAAAGCCTTATAAAGACCACTTTCACACATGTACTGAATACAGCTGCTGGCATGTTTCATAATGAATCATTATGTACCAGTCCTGTCAGGACGCCCTCCCCCCTCTACTCCCACCACATCCCAGCCCTTATATACTCCTCACATGTCATATTTAGAAATGATGCAATGTTCAGTCAGCAGTCTGAAAAACTGCTTTGGGTCCACATTTAAATAAAACTTTGAAAGAAACATTAAACCACAAAAAGCTTTGTGGTTTAAAATAAAGACCCAGATCCGGTCCCACAGATATGTCCTGTTTATTTATTGTTTGATGTTATTTGAACATTGTAATAATGATGTTACTGAAACCATAAACATCAGATTCATATGTTGAGAGTTTATGTTAATACAACATCTGAACATCTGGACCAGCTGTTAGAAAACAAACAGGTATGATGGAGGTTCAGTGTTGTTTGATGCTAATAGAGAAAATGACCCTGATAGTTTCACAGTTGTGAAGCAGTTCACTACTATGTCAGATGAACGAATGAATAAGTCAGTCAGTCACATTAATGTGACTAATGATGTCACTTGCATAAATCAGTTGCACCTGAGAATGAATCGGCTGTGACACATCTTTTATTTTACCCTCTCAGCTGTTCCTCCTCTTCGTCTTCTTAGATGTGCTGTGTTTAACTTACCTGTGTTTGTTATTCACTTTGCCTCCTTACAGCCTTCAGCACTCTGTTACTGGTCTGACTGCTGCTGAACCTGGCTCTGTTGACCAACCTTGACCTGATGAACCTGATCCAGTTCTGCAGGACTTCGGAGGAGACACAGACCCTGTCCTGTAGTTCTGCTGTCTAACCTGCAGGCTGCAGCATCCTCACATGGAATGCCTGGCCACCCTCACGTCAATCTCTAATGCCAAGCAGTTTGACAATGAAAAGTATTCTACACTGTGCACCTTGTAGAAAATGGCTTGGATTAAGTCAGTCAATCTTGCAACTGGCCTGTACTGTAATGAAAAGTTGTTGAGATGTTTTGCGTCTCTGAAATACACCAGTTCTGAGCTTCATAAAGCAAAAAATGACTGACAACAATTGCAACAAGGCGACAGTATCATCAGTCATTCATTTTAAGCAGCATTAGTGTGCTAAAGCTAACTGCATAATTAATGAACAATGCCCTTGTGGCAAATCCCTGCAGCCAGGTTCCAGGTTGTTTGTTCGTCCACATACTTTTGGCCATGTACAGTATAGAACATATAGACTGCAGATACAATGACATCACATTTAGCTGGTCTGATGTAAAATATACCTGTCTGTCATCTTACTGTGAGCTCAGTATTGAAGGAGCTTTTTGCTGTTTGGAGGAAAAAACTCTCACCCCCCCACGGGGTGTGTGCAGTGTTCAAAATACTCAAAAGACCAGTGAATGTCCACACCAAAGAGTTTAGTTAAATTTGTTTAGTAAATCTTTTCAGCAAGCAATGAACAAATACAGAATTCTGGATCAGATGTGTATTTCCCTAACCAATAACAAGTGTTGGTCAGTCCACAGTCTGACTCTGTTCTCATCAGTGCAACTGGGCAACCTGACCAAAGCACATCCACAACACAATTTAAGACATCCAATCCCCATTATCCATTCCCCACCATAACAACACCACCCTTTCCATACAATCCCTCGACCTACTGATTACCCATTTCATACTTCAGTTTTTGTGTCTGTTGTTCCTTTGTGAAAAAATGATTTGTTCTTCATGTCAAGTTAAATTATGTGTTTTCTCCTCTTCTGCATGGCCAAAGAGCCGGAGTTCATGACAGAGCAAATCCCTGAGCCCAGTTCCAGGTGTGTTGTTCGTCCAACATACTTTTATGCCATGTAACAGTAGTGAACATATAGACTGCAGATACAATGAACATCAATATTTTAGCTGCGTCTGATGTAAAATATACCTGTCTGTCATCATTATGTGAGCTCAGTATATTGAGTGGTGAAGATCAGCCACGGGTTCTAGTTGTTCATGTTAGAGCATACATTGAGTGAAAACTAAACACACTATCCCATTTCAGCTGTTTTATTTCATTTTATTAAAAACTTAAATACAGATTAAACTTTTACTTCTTATATACATGTGAGACAAACTTCAGGAAGAGAAACAGGAAACCAAAGACTGGCCATTGAGAGCATGATCACATAAACCCAGCTTACTTGCCATCAACATGACAAAGCCATTGTATGGTGAACCACTGCTTCATTTCTAAAGGACAGTGTTTCCTCTTCATTGCGAGTGCCTACAGTTTGGATTGTGCTCGTGGAGTCTTGTTGAGCTCCAAAGTAGAGATGACTTGGGAAGCCGTCGTCGTGCTCACAGTCCTTTCTTCTCGTTACCTGAATCAATAATGACACTGTTAGTGAAAAGCAATGGAATACCTGAAACACTCACAGTAGTGTTTTCATACTGGAGATCCTGAGCATCAACACTGTGTTCGTGTCGGTCTGCACGTTGTGATCTTAACTTGTTTTGTTTTTCTGAATGAGTTCTTCCAAGTGGTGACTGTGGATTCACAACAGTCTCTCCTTAATTTCCTGTTATTGGTGATATGGGGGAGAAGAAAAAGACGCCGTTTGTAAGAGAAGCTGGAAGAACGCATACGTTCGAGTAATGTGCTGTTTAGTTTCAGCTCTTTTACTCACATAATCTCTGTATGTGGACAGAAGACACTTGGCTGGGTGTATGGACTGCGCTCTGCCTCGTATGAGCCTTCGGCTGATTCCTGCCGATGTTATAATTGTTGAACACTTGCACTCTACGAGATCTGCTCTGCGTGTGTGTGTTCCTGTGGGAAGAAAAGACAGAGAGCTTTGTTAACTGCCTGATCCCAAACCTGAGACAACAGATCATGATCCACTGAATGAATCACACAACAATAAACTTTTACAGTACCTGGTTGCACAGAGGACGAGCAGGCAGGTGAAGACGGCAACGACAGCTGAATCATAGTTGTGGCTGTAGAACAGGTTTCTGGCTCTTCACTGCAGTGTCTTATATCAGTCTGGACTCCTGCATGGTGTGCAGCACATGGATCTCTCTTTTATACACTGCGGTAACATCCACACAGGGCTGCCTGTTACCATGGAGCGCAACAGTTTCACTTCTCCAACATCCCTTTCACTTCAACACTTCGTCTCTCCTTTTTCTTCAAGCAAGCCTATGTTTCACAGGAATCAGAGTACGCTTCTTATCCAGACTGTTTGCTCAGAGAAACTATTTCAGTCTTACAGAGTGGCTTCTCTGGAATAATGTCACATGAAGAAGGAAGAGTCGCTGACAGTAATACATTTCATTAAGATCAAAATTTCATCATCCAATATACTTTAACAACACCATGAAACATAGTCTTATCATTCGTCCAGGAAAAATGTGTTTTCCCACACGTATTCTCGTCCCAACAGTTCATTTGAAGCTACAGTTCATTCCAGAAATTCTCAGCCTCCTTCCTTAATGTTGAAACTTTATTCTAAAATCATTTAAATTCATTTTCTCCTGCCATTCTCATAAAGAACAATGTCCCGCATACTGCAGCTGACATTTGGAGTGAAACCTTGAAAAACAGCATCAATACAACAATAGAACCGTCATGATGAACCACAATAAGACTTCTCAAAACTCACATGGTAAACAATATATATGTTAACCAAAGTAAGGAGACTGCAGCAGGATTGACACTTACATAATGAAGAGAAGAACACAGTGGGTACTGCTTACTGTATCAGGTGCACGGTGAAGCCATCTCTCTCTT